AACCTTGTGTACTAAAGAATGGTGCTGACCTTGGCTTTTTTTTCTAACTATCTGGATACAAAAATAGCTTCCGGAAGCAACTCCTGCATAACTACAGATGTATTAGAAAAAATAAACAGAGAAGAGTTATTTAATGAAGTAAAAAAAAATGTCGTTGTAGTTGTTAATTCTGCCAGAATTTGATTACAAGATTACATGTGGACAGAGAGAAAAAACAGGAAAATGTAAATGACACGAAGAATAATAAGTAGCATCAAGATGGCGGTAGACATTGTTGAATTCTACTGACGTGACATCGCTGAAGCAGTCTTTTATTTCTTCTCCATCTTTTATCTTCTCTGTCTTTCCGTCCGCATGTGATTTACATAAAGGCACTTATATACCGCACAGCAGGGGACTTCAATGTTTTCCAAGTCGTGACTCCGTCGGTGTAAAGGAGAGATGAAGCGGTGATCCAATACTTTTGTATAAAATTGTATTTTATATTGAACCGAGTCAAGCACTGTGTATAAAAGTACCTCGGTTTATCCAATCAAAAGTAATCCACTAACATATTTACACAAAATGTATTATAAAAAACCTGTAGTATCTCAGTGGAGCCCCTAGGTGTCCCAGTTCCTTTAGATGAGGCCTTTGCTTCAGAGGAACGTGGATTGATACTAATCCAAATTAACTGCTGGGGTACTCCCTCGAATAATTTAACCTGGAAACAATTCATTAATGTTCACAGTGGGATAATGAAACGTTTTATTCCTGGTTGTAAACTTAGGGTTCGCAGGCCAATGGAACTTGTCCGTTCCCCTGTGGATCATTCCGCGTCTGGTCGTTATAAACCTCAGGTAGAATGAGCCTATTTATGAATGAGATCACTTTTGTTTTAGCACGTCACGCTAACCTGTGCTCCTCATTAAATCGCTATATGTCTTTGGAAAGATGTAGAATTTTACTTGCGCATGCAAGAAGAAAAGTAGTTTAAGACTGATGCCCCCTGGTGGCACTTACTGTAATTTAAGAATTTGGAGCTGTGGATATATAAGAGAACTCTCTCATACTGAAGTTGAGTAATACCTTATTATTTGAAAAGATCACTGACAGTGTGTGGAGCACACCACAAAAATGTTTGCCAGTAAATTTAGACGCAGCCTTGAAAAATATCCACGGTATTATGAAGAGATCTGGTCCCTAAAACCTCTCTTTCATCCTCTATTCACCGTGAACCACTTGTACAGATGTCAAAAACATGAAGTTGTACTCCACCTGCCTCCTCGTAATCCTCAAAGAACCACAGCGTCCTCTTTTCCCCGACTCTCCATGAATTACGGGCGTTCCACTTTGCTGTCACTTCCCGGAGTCTAGATTACTGTAGTGAATTACGGGCGTTCCACTTTGCTGTCACTGTCTAGATTACTGTAGTGGCAGCAGTCGACTGCGAGGGAACTTAGAAGTACATACAACATGTAGTGAAGAAACAGAATGGGATTATAGTTGTGCGCGTGTTTAGAAACTGTTGCGTTGGCAAATACTTAATGTCAGGGAGTGAAGTTACTAATGTAGGGTGTATAAATAGCTGTGTGAAGGAGGGAAAGACGTGACTCACTGCAAAAAAATATGGCTGAGTCACCTGCAAGATTTAATATAGAGAATTAGAGAAAAGAATGTACTGCAGAGATCGAGGGATTTTGGAGGCAAGTCAAGTTACATTTTGTACTTTATACAGTGGTACATGATGATTTTAGGACCACAAAGTACTTTTAAGGAACAAACTGAGCCATGCTAAGGTCCCCCAAAGCAGCATTAGCTTCTGGCCGGGGACTTTCTTTGCAAATCTAGACAGTGCTAATAATTATTCATTTTTTTCTAGCTTAAGAAAATGATCAACAAACATGTTTTCAGCACTTTATTTCCCCATTGAACAATACACTTTTTCATAAACTGTAACGATAAGAACAAAAGAAATCAAACCTCTCTTATTTATGTGGGTTGTGTCCGTTCGTGGTGCATCATTTAGGTACCATTGGAAACTAAAGTGTCCAACGATTATGGAAGTTTTTTTACATTACAAAAATGACTAACTTTCCTTATCTTTGGCTGAATCTTGTTTGGTTAATCTATATTTTTATTTTCAGCTAACCTTAACTTTTTACTTTAATTATTGCATTACATATAACTCTAAAATTTAAATGGTTGTAACAGAATAAATAAAAGAAATTTTAAAAAAAAGTACTTTTCTGAGCCCCACTAGTGCCCCCTGGCGGTCCTAACTTTGAAAACCAGATTAATTACACATATAGGACTTCTAAGATTTATAATTCCATACCAAGTTGCAAAAAGTGAAAAAGTACTTGGACCTCCTTGTTTGTTCAAGGACCAAAGCTCTGTTTCCCATTGGATTCCATTGGTCATGGACAAACAATTAACTGCATTGTCCGTCCCCCCGCCGTGAAGCTGTAATTAGTTAAACTAGGGAATTGTTTGGGAGGGCAGTTTTTTGTGCTGAGGAAAGAAAAAGTCACAGTTTTATTCATACACCTCAGTTCCTGTTTCTTTGTTTTTACTGAGGATTATTCATCTCTGGCCAGCTGACTGCAGCCTCCTTTTTTATTTAGTCCAGTTCCCACTCCTGACTGTCTCTCTATCTCAGCAGTGCAGCCTCATTGGCTTCTCTCACTCTCGGGCTGAAATGACAAATGCTGCCTTATGGTGATAACATGGTCCACCAGGCAACCTACCACATCATGAATCTTTTCGCTGTATGCAGTTGTAAGTGAAGCCGCGTGCTCTTGCGTGGGCTCGTACAGATTGTTTTGTCTGACAGGCTTATTGTCTGGAAATACGTTGGGTGAGAGTGAAGAAAAATCATCATAAAAAACCTATTCCAGAGTTTTAAATTCTTACACACCAACGCGACTTTAGCCCTGTTGGGTAAATAAGGCTCGTAAATAACACTGAAGTATACACTGACTTCAACTCTTGGACTGTCCCAGCGTTGCCTTCAGGGCCAGCTCAAGGTTTGCTTAAATCCCGTCTTGGACATGTCTGTTCCCAGCGTTGCCTTCAGGGCCAGCTCAATGTTTGCTTAAGTCCCGTCTTGGACATGTCTGTTTAGGGAAAAATTAGTTTGTAAGTCAAGGAGTCCCTGAAAATACAGAAATACTTTGTTCTGACTAGAATCTGGTTCTTACTCATATTAAACTGATTTTAATATTAAAAAAAGCGTTAATTCCACAAAACGTGTTGTTTTGAATGCTCAGTTCCAAAATGATTCCAGTGCACGTCCAAGGTGCCCCTCAGGTCAGATCCTTGTTAGCTGCTGACACTGAAGTCCAGCCTAATGAACCATAAACCAAAGATCTTCTGGTCCAAAAAGAAAATTACCGTTGGCCTCGGTCTCTACACTGGAGACATGAGCTCGCTCCTTCTCACCTCTCCTCTCTCACTTTATCACCAATTCATAATGTGGTGAATGTTGAAACAGCTGATCGCATTTCAGTGTGATATTACTCTCTGAGGAACGATGAAGAGTAAGAGGCGGATTCACAGCCGATGCTGCAGCTGCATTAAAATGAAGGAAGTCAGGACTGGGTGATATGAAATAATCTTATCATGATGTGATGTTTTTTTTTTCTATAGCACTTATATACAAGAGCTCTAGTGAGTAGTCATGCTTTATGTCTACTACTGCCAGGATGCAAAGAGCATGATTAGCCGGCTAGTGAGATTTAAGACACAGAGAGTCACGGCATCTATCTATATCAGAGTCAAACACAAGCCATACATACTGAAAGTCTTCAAGACTAGGCTAAGTGTCTGCAGCAGCCTCAGTATTTCTTGTATAAGATTTGCATTTTACACCTCTGCTCCTGACTGGATATCCATCCATCCATCCATCATCCATCCATCCATCCATCCATCCATCCATCCATCCATCCATCCATCCATCTGTTACCTAGCGATCAAATCGAGTAAATCAACTTGTTTAAAAATGAATTTGTTTAAACGACACTTTGTCCATTTGTGAAGTTTTCTGACGCTCTGACGTGTTTTTTTTTTCGGAGCCCAAAAACTGTGACTGTTCTGACCATTCCAGAAAACTGTCAAAAGGACTGTGACTTATGAAAACCATAAGACGTATGAGATCCAGTGAAAGTGCAGTGAAAGTGATCTACTACAGCTGGGATTGTAAAACCAAAGGGCAGAGAGCAACAGTGACAGACAAAGTGTTCAACACGAAGGTCAACTGCCAACAGGACCATCAATAAAAGAGAAGGAATGTTTTTTTGTTCTTCTTTTCTGCACATTTTCTACCTGGAAGGTGACCTATCGTGAAGTACTGTGTACCTTTGTCGAATGATACTTCCTCTGACTTGTGTCCATTTGTCGGTCAATACTTGGCAGGTATGACTTTCATTGATTTTATCTTGAAATCGTCAGAACAGGATTTTTTGTCTTTAAGTTGTCGACCAGAAGTTGGTGCTGTTTCTTCCGACTATCCCTCCACCTTTATTACAGTCCATTTTCTTGTTTGTGTCCCTGGAGTTACCGTAACTCTTCTTAGCCGTGCATCTGCACATTTCTCTTTCTTACACACTTTATGGGTCCTTAATGTTGTTCGATCTGCTTTATTCAATTCTCCGTCTTCTCTTCAATTACAAACTGTTTTTTCCACTTGCATAAATTGTGCTGACAATTCTCCGTCTTCTCTTCAATTACAACCTGTTTTTTCCACTTGCATAAATTCTGCTGATGTTGAAGATGATTGTCCGTGTAAAAAGGAATGCATGAAAACGCTCATTTATAACCCTAACCTTCACGACGAGCCGCATTTCATACGACGACCTTGCCAAATTCATTACGATGCATTAACTGGTTGTTGTTCAGACAAAGTGCTATCGTTTCAGTATAGCACTTTTCTGACGCTCATGTGACTGTGTTCTGCTGTGTTTGCCTGCACATCTGTGCACAAACACACAAAAATAACTCTTGGCATGTTTCTCTTCTAGCCAACGCCGGGGCCTGTTATCATAAACAAGGTAACTCATCGGGCGAAGGGCTCACAGCTTCTGTTGTCTCCCACCATTCATTTGCTTTGTTTATTATTATTTTTTTTTTTTGTGCTTCTTCTCATCTGTCTCGCTTCCTATTCTCTGCATCCAGAATGTACACATTCAGAAAAGCAGGAGCTGTCACTGTGAGGCGTAGAAGGACAGGGACTCTCTAAAGAGACAAAACGCAGTGGATGCCAGATCTCCTCTGCTAAGACAGGATTGGGTCAGGGACTGAAGGAAATCTGTCATATTGTTCCAGTCAAAACTCTTCTCACACGTAGCTGTTTCCAAAAACACGTTAAATTTGACTTTAATGGACCAGGAGGCATATTCAGAGGGATAACCAGGGAAACACATTCTGGTTCATCCTCCTCTTCTGAAGTATTGCAGAAGCATTTTGCTTTTTTTCTCGTTTTTTCCTCCATTCAGAACATGAAATCAATAACTTTGCAGAGAAACACGGCCCTGGTGGCAAATAGTTAATGTCCCAAAATATTTCTCTCTCTCTCTCTCTCTCGCTGCCTCTCTCTCTCTCTTCCTGTACCTTTATGTTCCGCTCTCTCCCTCTCTTGCCTTGATCCGTTTCCACCTGTTCGTGCCTGCTCTGTGCTTCTGTTCATCTCCACCCTAAACTCTCAATGCATGCTCGCCTGGCTGGTGAATCACCTTCTGTTGGTGCACTTGGTCTCAACCTTCCTTCTTTCCCTCGCACCTTCCTTATCCTCCCCCCGTTTATCTCTCTCTCTCTCTCTCTTTATTCAATATCCTTCAGATCCCGAGCGTGGTGGCAGTCACATGATCTCCACAGATGACTTGGAGTATCCGCGGGAATACCGGACCCTGGATAACAGGGGCCGTCGCTTCTCCAATGTGGGTCTGGTGCACACGTCAGAGCACCGCCACACGGTCACGGCGGCCCAAAGCCTGGAGGCCCTGACCAACCTGCACAAGGTGGACATGGAGCGAAAGAGGGATGCCTTCATGGACCACCTGAAGAGCAAGTACCAGCAGCAGCAGCAGCAGCAGCAGCAGCTGCAGCATCCGCACCACAGCCCGCACCACAATCCACCCTCTCCCTCACCCTCCCACGCCAGCATCAGGGGCACGTCAGAGCGGTCGGCACGCGAGCAGGTAAACTGGTGCAGCACCAGCGGAATTAACGTTTGGTTTTACTTACCCTTAGCTCATACTATTAGCTACCCCTTGCTTTAGCTCTGGGTAAATAAGAACTACGTCTTGGAGCATTATCACTAATATCACTGTTATTTTTATTATTTTTTTATATTTGTTTTTGCTTAGCTAGCATTTTATAACTTTTAAGCTAATTTCTTGGTTGATTTTACATATTATGTTTTTTAACGCTTCACTAATTTTGTTTCTTGTATTTGTCCTCCGGCTATACATCTAAAAAGCCTAGATACACTTTTGTCTTTTCTCTCGATATGTTCTAGCTAAGCTATTAGCCTTTAGTTATTACTTATCTTGTTTTATATTTGGCTATCTTAGGCTAAATCCAGTTGGGTTACGCTATATTTTTATTACAGCTTACTTCAACTTGTTGCTTTAACTGTTGTAATATCATATAAGACTTTAAATGCTTCATTTTAGTTAACTTTATGCTAACCCCAGCTGTTAATTGATCAGTGCTGAGTGTTCCCTGCAGTAACATTCGAGCTATTTCTGGGCTAGTATTTTGGCTAACTTCTACGATTCAGTTATGTCGTATTTTGTTTATCTCTTAAGTGATTTGGTTATTTATTTTATTTATTTTTTCCTGGCTATCTATTAGCTGCTACATTGTGGGGATATAGATATTTGTAATCAATTGGTATTTCTTGAGTTGCTGATCTTTGATTTCCTCTGATTTCCTGCTTGAGCCAGACCTATTATATATGAATATATTAGATACTAAATAAAATATAAATTTCATTTCAAGTTTACATCTATGAAGGATGCCTTTCCCTCTTGGTTTGGCTTCAGTTATTTTTGCCGATATTTATTCAAGTCTGTAGCTGAGCAGCGGGATTTTCTTTCAAAGATAAATTCAGTGTGATGACGTCAAAAAAAAAAAAAAAAAGAAGAAAAAGTACACGCATGAAGGAAGAATGCAAGAGGTTCAGCGACAGGAGCGGGGTGGGTTAAAGACAGGTGGAGTTTATAGTTGCCTTGGCAACCGCTCCCACACTTGGCTGTCGGGGATATCGCATTGCAAAGGTCAGGTGGTGTGGAGAAAGGCTGAATTAGTACAATAATTAAGACAGAAGGCAGAGCAGAGTTACCACTTGTGGGCAGATGGGGGACAACAAAACAGCAGCTGCTGTAGGACAGCGGACAGTCCATAGGTGACAGAGCAGTTTTTTTTTTTTTTGTTTTTTTTTTTGTTCTAACCCTGCTGGAGGAGAAGGAGGAGGAGGAGAAGGAGAAAGCAGCAGGTTTCTTGTCATATAGTGGATGTGCATGAGCGTGGACAGTATAGAAGGGGGGAAGGAGGAGCAGAGCATCCAGTCAAAGCAGCCAGGAGCCAGGCACCCATCTGCGAAGGAGTTAATCGGCTGGTGTTGTAATGAATTAAATAAAGAGTTTCCGCTGCATGTGCGGCTGGAGAGAGAGAGAGAGAGAGAGAGAGAGAGAGAGACAGGGAGAGAGGGAGAGGGGATGAGAGGGGGAGATTGACTGAGGGGAGAGGGTGGCGGAAACGCAATGAGGATTTGCTGCACCTGATGGACAGGACTGAGATGACTGGAGTGGTGGACAGGCACAGGTGCCCTGCAGGTGAGGTGGGACTGGAAACCAGTCCAGAGTTGTCATAGAGCAGGCATGTGTAGAGGCAGTGGTGGACGGTGGTGAGGATTTCCAACAGTTGTGTTTGTGGTGGTTGTTGTGGTGACGGTGTTCAAGACGGAATGTTAGGAGCCACTGCCTTGATAAAGACTCAGTGGGAAACAGTGTGTAAATGCAGTCAGAGCACAGTTAGTGTTTTTGACTATTCATTTTGTTGTAGTAGATGTTTTTTTATATATATAAAGAAGAGAACAGGGGGGGAAAAATGGACAAAAGCTGCAGCAACGCTAACACACGTTACTGTACAAAGGATGATGAGGGAACCATTTGGAAAGATTGGAAAAAAGTCTGTCTGTGTGTGTGTGTGTGTGTAGGGATGACGATACTGAGGGGATGACGACATCTGAAAAGTGAGGGGGTGGAGGAGGGGTAGTGTGAGTGCAGACTGCTTTACATGCCGGTCAGGTAACGCGGTGCTCCACTGTGTGAGGCTACGTCCTTCTCGCTAAGCTCAGTGGACTCCACTCTCGTGAGTGCTCATCCGTGTCTCTGTGTAGAGTAGACCCGGAGTGTGTGCAGGAAATGGAGGTCGTAACCATCGTTAGACCGGACGAAATACCACAAGTCACTTTGCTGATTTTGGGGAGTTAAACTGTGTGAATAGATGTCTGACAGAACAACAGGCTACACTACGTCTACCAATCCACCAATCCACCTGGCTTTACACAAATACTGTATCCTTGTCTGGTTTTTTTTAACACAGTCCATGATTGTCTACGGTCAGTAAACAAATTCAGTCCCAAACCCCAGTTTAATTTGACGTCTCACACTGACGTGCCTCCCCATGATGCGGCAGTGTATTTATTTCAACATTGTCATGGGAGGTAGAGCTTAAATGTGTCATCAGGGATTAGTATAAAAACCAGTGACTGTAGAAAATCCTGTCTTGTTTGTGATTTCTCGGCAGAGGGAACACAATAATTGCGGTGATGTCTGTCAACCTAAATGTAATATTACAGGGAAATAAAACCGTCGGTCTCCAATTCGCTCTCATGCCCTTTTTGGGGCAGCCTTGTTTACATCTCCGTCCGAGTCCAGTACATCTTGGCCTCTGTTAGCGGAGCGACAGCTAAATTAGCACCAGTCAGTGGAGAATGAATGAACGTATTAACCTAATCACTGGCATTTGTCTCATTTTAGACCCAAACTGGGAAATACTGGGATGAACGAGACCACAAATCACCTCGGTGTTAAAGCCCTCATTTGGTCTTGTAGTGAAAAAACAACTCATTAACATTATTTTAACAAGAACACAGCTATTATGTATGACTGCTCATCAATAAACCTCAATTGACTGGGCAGCAACAAGTTTACTTTGTTTTGTATCTGCGCTCTTGACCAAGTACTTTGGTGCAGTACGACGACCAACCTGGAGTTAGTGCCGATGTGGTTCGGGATCATATACAGTACGACGACCAACCTGGAGTTAGTGTCAGTGTGCCGATGTGGTTCGGGATCATATGAGAGTTTGGATGGAAACAAACCCGCAACTGACATCAGATATTGATATCTGACCACTGACCAATAAAATAAATATTTTATCGAAGTCATATCAGAAATGTGTCAACACTTCAGACCAACTCAAAAGTACACAGTGCAGTTTGCCTCTACCTCTAGTACAAAAGTTTCCCTGGATTTAGTTCCTCCTTTTCCCGTTGCATTGTAACCTTTTATGCGTTGTTTATTCTCGAGCCCAAGGGAATGTACCGCGGCTCTAGCGAAGTTGAGGGGAAACAAAACCGAACCAGGTTTTCTCATAAAATGAAATGTGAAACCAAAACGACTCTCAGTCTCTCAGTTTATTCCCGGCTCGCTTTTAGCGAAAACCGGTTTGGTTCTAAAAACGTAATTTGGGGGAAATTTGTTTACATGTCCACAGTGAACTCACTTTCTTATTTGCTTGTAATTACCTAAATTATGTTAGCTTTTGTCTCGGCCTGTGGTGTTAAACTTACGGCCCATGGGCGAAAACCGGCCCGCTGGGGGGTTCAATCTGGCCCGTTTGCTAAATTTTGAAAGATAAAAAAAAATGCACATACACCTCATGTTAGTGATATAATTGTACTTATTTGCATGAAAACAAAGGGGAAAAACATGGACTTATTGTTTTTTATAGGTAATTATGTTATGATTGTAGTGGTTTAAAACATGTCATACATTTAATTAAGAATGTATAAATAATGATATCTATTCTGTGTTATTCCTGTGTCGTCTGCGATCTGACCTGTTTTGGACAAAGAGAAATTACATTTTAGTAAACACTCACCTTCCTGGAAGCCTGCCCCGAACACGAATAAACGCTAATTTAACAAAGTCCTGCGCAGCTGGACGACCAAATAAACAGATTAGACACAGAGCGTGTGCTGCTGAAAGTTAGCAGGTGGCAGTGAGGCCCCGGTGAAAGGAGCACAAAGTGCCTTAGGTAGAATCAGAGTGAAAGGACAGGGCAAAGGCAGGAGGTAGAAGAGGTGCAGCGCTGTGGTGGACTCTGGGAGTGGGGCCGACATGCAACAACAGAGTGGGCTGCCGTTTCATTCTGTGTCACGACTTTCCCTTCCAAAGTGCAGTCTAGTTTCAGGTGCCTCGTCCTGCTGTGCTCTGTGGTCTGGACTGGAGGGGTTAAATCAAATGTTGATTTCAAATGGGAACAACTTCAAAAGTCACAAACATATATATATTTTTTTTTAAATTTTGCGTTGTATTTTTCTGTAAACTTTCTGGCTATTTGACAAACTTCTTGCTATTTATTGAAACACATCAAGCTGTTTTCTTGGACAACTTCCCTGGGATCACTTTAATTGTTTACTTTTAACCAGTGTTATGATTAATTTATTTTAATTTTTTTAATATATTTAATTTAAATTAATATTTTCTTGAGTACCTCTAGCTATTTTTATGTATAAAATATACTTTAATTACTGCCTATGTATAAACTTATATATTACGTGTAGCTAATTTAGGGCCATCCTCTAACTAGGCTAACTGCTGCTCTTTGTTTTTTTTATTATTTATGGGCCATCCTCTAACTAGGCTAACTCTTTGTTTTTTTTATTATTTAAGTTTTAGTATTTTATTTAGTTTATTTGTAAACTTACTATAAACATTCTTTAAAAAAAGAAAGAAAAGTTTTTTATTTCCCATTAAACTTTTTGGTATTGCTAATGTAAATGCTAATGTAGCTATTGTTTTGGCAACAGCTGTCCAAAATATCTGACGTATCTATTTATTGCTTAAGGAAATGACTTTTTGCTCGGTAACTTCCAGATGTTCTTGTTTTTTGTTGGTGTTGGGGTTTTTTTTCAACCTCTGTCATTAAAGAGCTGAATTTAGCAACTTTGTTTTTATCCCTAGATAGCTGTAGCTAACTTCAATGCTTTGTTTCAAAAATAATGAGCCATTGTTCGAGATAAAAATATCTAACCCTGCTTTTTGTCTTCTTTTCAATTTGTATCCACAGCAACAGCCCAACTACTGGAGCTTTAAGGTCAGTGGTTTGTGTCTAAGTGTCCCAGTGTATGTCAGTCCTTTTGTCCTGTGTCTGTGCGCGTTGTTGTCAAAGTCAGTTAGTCGTTGTTGTGTATCATCTTTCCATCGTGAGAGTATCAGTGTAGAGACAGCTCAGTTGTGCAGATCTGCAGAAGCCCAGTTGCTCGGTATTCATAATGGACGCTCACATTATGCTAAGGTTTCCCCGTGACATATTTTGAAATATTGCTGTGGATGACTGGAAGAAATCACCGAGGGCACTGAGGCGTTATTACGAAGAAGTGCTTTGACATCGGCACAGACGGTTCGGTCATGACTGAGGGCAGAGCGTGTTTTTATGTGCCGATTGCAGAGATAAAATATAAACCCGTCGTGAGTCAAGTAGATATCATGGAGATGCATTTAAACACGTCGCGACTTCCTGAATTTAAAGAGTGCAGCTCATTTACAGAACGCTACGTGCGTTATTTCACTGATACGTTTGAGTCAAAGGCAGCAAAGGAGCAGGTTTAACAGCATTGATGTGGCTGTTTGTGCGTGTGTCTGTATGTGTGTTAAAGAGCCTCCGGCTTATCTATAGTGTAGTCTTCCCTAAATCCCTGCACACAATATCATTTGGACAGGGTGGAAATGTTTCTGAATATAAATAGCTATATGTCCTGACCCAGGGGGAAGGCTGAGCAATTTATCTCTCTTTCCCCACAAGTGCTTTAACTTCAAACAAGAGTGATGTGACCTGGAATTTAAAGACTTTTCTGTCACATAAATCCATGGTACAGCCAATCCCCAGACATTGAATGTATGAAGGAGGCAGAACAGAAGCTCGAGTTATTGATTTCTTTAATTTGGATTTTTCTTATAAATGCGAGAGACTGCGCGAGAGACTTCGCAACCGGAGCCTCGGAACTGTACTTTTCTTTGTACTTCCACATGCGGAAAAAGGCCAGGACTTCCCAAGGCTGTTGTAAGATGGGACATAGTACCGTATTTTCCGAAGCATAAGTCGCACCAGCCAAAAAATACATAATGAAGAAGAAAAAAAAAACATATATAAGCCGCTCCATATAGTCGCACCAGTGCCCCTTGTGGCTATCAGCGTGAAAACAACGAACATGTAAATTTGAATTGTGCATTTGATTTTAGATCAGAAGCTGTTATTTCACACACACACACCAACCTTTAATGTTGCCCACTTTATTCCAAGCTCAGCTATGACGAACATGTCACACTTCTTTAACACCTCAGAAAAAAAGATTATATGGGTATCAATGTGTTAAATACAGACACCTTATTTTATTTTATTTACAACAATCCAAGGTGTTGGGTAAATAATATTGTAGTGAAATTGGGCCAAAAATCTACTTTTGTCATGATTTTTCAGCCTGTGCTGTTCTGTTTCCCAGTCTGTTTTACGAAGAAGAAAGATTGGTGCAATCTGAGTCGTCATCTTGCAAACATTGAGTGCTTTTGCGTACAATTTACTGTAATTTTCGCCAAATTATTTTGTGCATTGACAAATCTGTGTGTTACGCAGAAATAGAAAAAGAAGGAGTGATTTGAGTTGAGATATTGAAAAGAAAAAAAAAAAAAAAAAAACGGCAAAAGATTGGCCTGAAAGTTGAGATGGAAAATCAAGAAAAATAGTTCTGTTAGTGGGAGTGAAAATGAGTTGACTCTATGGGCTGTTTTTTTTTTTTTTTCTTTTTTTCTATGATTTGAATTGTGAGCCAGGATCTCTGAGTGTGTGGAAGAAAAGGCAGATGATGAGTTGAGGTAATACTTGACTACAGACAGCATTGGTTATACAAATGAAAAATAAATAATAATAAAAAAAAAACCCTGGAAACTGCTCTTGTCTCTTCCACTCGAGAATACCAGTGAGTGGAATAAATCACCTGAGCTGGAGTTAAAAGAGAGTTGTGGCAGCACAGGGAGCGAATGAATAAGTGACAGGGGGTTAGAAGTGAAGACAAAAAGTACACAATGGCAGACAATGTTTGATGAAAAGAATAAATTAAGAGGACAAAAGACTGAGAGGCATACAGATAAGGACGGTGACTCCATCTACTACACGCAGCCCTTTTCACACACACAGAGAAACCATTTTAATTAACCAGAGGCACCTGGATAATACGAGAGCAAGCACCAGGAGACGAGATGGAACACGTCGTAGGTACGTCAACCTTGGTGCAGTCACCGATGGTACAGTAAGTAGGCTGGATATAAAAAAAAAAAAAAAAAATCCAAACAGATTAACGAGTTGCCCTAGCACTAGCATCTCTCTCCTTTCTCATTTGACTATTTTCTGCACCTTAGCCACTGCCACAGTGCCCTTGTCAGTAGTAAAATCTTGTCATTGTTTTGTTGTTGTTTACATTTCAAAAACTCACATTCACAATATTTGTGGGACGTGTGGGCGGTTGGAGGCCACTGGTTCAGCGGACAGCATATAGAAACACCNGCATATAGAAACACCCACTGTCTGATACATTATTCTCTCACGGCCCACTTGGACATCTTTCCAGAGCTTTCGCTGCAAGTGAAAAACAAAGGAAATATTCAGAGTGATCATTTGTGTGGATATTATTCCTGACTGCCAATCCTGTGCGCAGGTGCAATTAGAGTAGAGCGTACTTCTCAGGAATGACGTTACGCAAGGACCAAGTAAAGCTAACAGCACGCAGAAACCTCAACTTACGCAATTATAACTATACTGTCTGGCAAGTTTTTGTTTTTTTTTAAAGAGACATACTGTCCACATCCAAACAGGTACATGTCATGGACTGACACGCTCTGGACCATTACGACTTCCTGTTTCTGCCTGAAAGCAGCGGAATACGTGTACATGCCACGTTTTGCCGCGAAATGCCATTAGCCTCACAAATCTTGTCCGGCATTAGCACTAACATGTCCAATAATGGGACAATATGTCAACTACAGCTTATAAAGAATGTTGCGGCAGCAGCCATGAGGGAAATTGGACTATAAATTGCTGAGAATTTATAGCTGTAGCGAACCATTCACCTGCCTGACTGCTTATATGCTGTGATGGTGTTTATCTCATCCTTCTAACTAATCTCACACCAACCTGGATATCATGTAAGATTTTTGAAAACCCAGTTATTAGTCAACAAGTTGTTAAAAAAGAAGGGATTTAATTCTCTTATATATTTGAAATACATACAGTAAGCGAGAGTTTTCTCCACCGTGACCTTAAACCAGAGCTGTGTGTGAATTCAGTCTTACTTGCGTCCGTACTCTCACCAAACAACAACTGGATAGTGGGAGGTTGTATTGATTTTAATGCAGTTTCTAGCCTGGGGTCTGTTGTCGGGCTGCCGTGTCCTGCTTGCACTCACGTTCCATGTAAGACCATCCTGATCTTGAGTTCCTATTCCATGTCTTGATAACAGTGTAGTGTTCTGAAAAGTCACTGAGTCTTGTTGAACAGAAAAAGAAAAGAAAAAAAAAACCCCAGATCAAGTGGAAGGTAAAGAGGGCAGGCAGGTAGTTTAGGAGGGAGGGGTCGAGGAAGGAGGGGAAGAACGAGGCAGAACCAGTTCAAGAAGGCTGTTGTCACCATCATGTGCACAGCACTGTCTCCTCCAGCAGGACCACATGCTCCAGCAGATGGTGTATTCACTTATATTTTATGATGCAAATCACCATGGGGAGATATTTTCCGTTTTCATATCACATTAATCTCCAATATGGAACTCGGTGTTTGGAGCCTGCTGTAACAAGGCGAACTGAGTGAGAGCCTAACAACTGCTGTGGTAAGATCACACACATGCTCACACATCCAGTTCTCAGCGTTGCATTCGTGGAGACAGGGTGGATCATTATTCGGTTGCTTTCCTGACAAGGTTTTTTTTTTTTTAAGTTCTTCCTTTTCAGTTGCTCCAGAAATTTAAGATGCGGGCGTTGAGAGTAGAGCGTTTCAGTCATTCAGCACCACATTCTCACTTTCCCTTTTGCCTTTCATAGAAAACGCCAAGTAGGTTATCTAGCCTTAAGATAGAATTTCCACTCGCACGAGAAACATGATTCAAGAGTTTGAAACAAGGATTGGCCTCACAACAGGACACATTTGGATCCTGTCAGTTACCTCCATTCAAACCGAGGGATGTTATTACTTCCATCTGTTGGAGACATCCCACGTGATACGGACATTCCTTGGTGACTTCACCGTCACAGTCCTGTTAAGCTGGATTCTGTATTGTGCACTGATGATTCAGTGTTTGACAGTGGGTGGACCTTTGGTGCGCACCGTGGACAACTTTTGTAGCTGTAGGCTACATACTGTACTGCTCTCTTTTGTTGATCAAGTGTCCATTTGAAGTGACGTCTGTGCACAACTGCATTTTCCGTGAATGTGTTTTTTGAACATGACAAACCACATCTATCTGTCTATCTATCTATCTATCTATCTATCCATCCGTCCGTCCGTCCGTCCGTCCGTCCATCCATCCATCTATCTATCTATTCCACTGTTTCCCATAGACTGGGTCGCGACCCTCACGTGGGTCTTTTTTTTTGCTGTCGTCTCGCATCATGTTTCCCAGGAGTTTAAAAATAATGTCTATCCTGGTGGGTTGTGAAGGTTTGTGACTTCTAAAATGTGGGTCCCCAAAAAAAGTTTTGGGAAACTGATCTATTCCATCCATCCATCAGGATGCATTTACTTAGCCCTACTTACGATGTATCTCATTTAAAGGAGTGGCCCACATCTTACCTCTGTGAGTCAGATCTTAGGAGATGATTAGAGTAATACTACGACCTAAAAGTTGTATTTGGCCGCGAAGTGTTTGTCACATCTTTCATAGAGTGTCTTCTTTGAACTTTTATCAGAGTGTGACAGAATGCAGAGTGTGCTCTTCCTACAGTGCTGCTGTTGACCTGTTACTCAGCGTGTTCACATTTAGATAAATGACCCCATTACAAACCCTGGAGGGTGTTGTCTGTCAGAATTACAGCCCCGGTGTGGCTGTGTGTACCACAGCGTCTGATGCCACTTTTTGCTAGACATGACTACTATCACTCAGTGTACATTGACAGCAATGTGATGACTGTACACGTGTTGTTTTTTACTTCTAACAAAAATTAATAGTATACAGCATCGTCTCGCATCATGTTACCCGGGGGCCAAAACCGGCCCGCTAGGGTGTTCAATCAGGCCCGCTTGATGAATTTTCAAAATAAAAAAAATTCAAAATAAAAAGACAACACAAACAGTTCATGTTCAGGATAGTTTTTGTAAAATTATATTTTATTAAAAAAGTAATAAATATGTAATATACTTGTACTTGTTTTGTTGAACTGTTTTTTTTTTCATTTATTTCACATAAATTTGGTAAATTTTACAATTTTTGTGTCAAACAGCCCGCTGTTATAATGTGGTTTAAAACTGCAATATTTTCTATTTGAGAATTTACTTTACTTTGTTAGTGTTTCGGCTGAATGGAAAATACTTATTTTACCTAACTAACTAACTAACTAACTAACTAACTAACAAATTAACCACGTTATTGTCTTGGAAATTAGCGTTGAAAATCAATAACCTGCAGCGGCAGCTCCTCTTACCTCTGTGCAGGTTGGACTTTAGGTTCAATGAACCGGATCATTAACGAATGTCTGAGTGTGTTCTCAGTGGCTTTAGGTGTTTGTGAATGAAGTGAAACATCCCAGTGAGATAATGAGTGGAGCGATGGTTCTTGTCTGACACCCTGCTAATTAAAGAACATTAATGAAAGTCCACGCTGTAATTAGACACACACGGGGGGTGGGGGTGGGGGTGGGTGGAAGGAACTCTGTGGGTAAAAGGAGCTGGTGCTGATGGTGATGTTGAAAAAAAACTCAACCTACCGTCGTCTGGTCATGAATGTGTCATCCTTTCAGCCATCTCAACAATATTCAGTTTTCTTGGAGCTCATTACCGCAGCCCGTATCATGAAGAGACGCTGCAGCAGTGGAGCCAGTTCGGCGTCCTTCACAGAGGGGAGCCTTGGCACAGGCCGAGGCAGGATAAGCCCAGAGTGACAGCCCAGAATTTACATTAGCTTCTCGTCTCGCCCCACAGCCACCCGTTTAAAGTTTGTGGTTGCGCACGAATACGAGTTGGCATGAGAGCACGTGGAGTGGGGCCAGTTTTGGCCCACTAAGGCTGGTCTACTCGGTAAATTATTTCCAGGGATTTTTTTTTCTTGAGTTTGATGTTTATGCGTTTTCACACAATAAATTGTAACGTGGTTGAGGAATACATACATAAACGCCGTACCTTTATGGCGACCAGGTGTCTGGCTTTGTGCGCAGCTGCACCTCATTTGAACGTTTTGTTGGTGCTTCTGCAAATCGACGTGGCCCACATTCTGATCTGTTCACTCTGCCAGCTCTGTTTATGAAGTCAGGCGACATGTCGTCTCAGGGCTGTGACTGATGATTGCAATGCACCGTGCACGTGTGACAATCACACGCCTGCTTCCTATAAATGCAGCAACTTGAAATGGAAAAAAAAGTGTCTTACGGTGTGACTGTGTTTTCAGTTTTTCCTGCCCAATAAGATTTACCGAGTGAAATATGATGCAGAGCAGAACGGCAAAATGAAGAAATGACACAATTAGCAACAGTTGGAATGTATTTTTTAATGTACGTAATACGGTTCCATTTTCTGACCTCAATGAGTCCCACGTTAGCGTATTTTTTTATCACACATTCTAAGGATTAGGACGGGATCAGCCAACCTTTTTATCGTATGTGTGATGTGATTATGATGTCACCACTGTGTTAGCATAGGTGAGACTGACGGCAAAAATCAAGTCGAGGATCCTCTGAACTCTTTGCGTATAAACGTAAAGATCTTTTTTTTCTTGATAACAGACCTTGCGTGAATGAGGAGAGAAGGATAAACTGCCAAACTAATGTCCATGTGTCACTGATCTCCTAACTCAGTGTCTCTTTGTGTGATTATTACGTCTCTTGTCTCTGCTCTGATCCCCCCTTTTTCATGGATAATTCGTTTTACGTCTCCTCCAGCAGAGCCGCAGTCCGAGGCATTCCCAGTCCACCCAGTCGGGGCTTGCTGACCAAGCTGCCAAGCTCTCCTTCGCCTCTGCGGAATCCTTGGAGACCATGTCAGAAGCTGACCTCCCTGTCGGGTTCAACCGGATGAATCGTTTCCGCCAAAGCCTGCCACTGTCCCGCTCTGCCAGCCAGAATAAGCTACGATCTCCAGGTTAACTTCTGAAACCCTACTGACTTCGGAATTTGCATACGTCCGTTCTCCTTACACGTTTCTGATGTTAACTGCCGTGTGTACCAAATAAGGGCAATAAGGTTGAACTTCCGGCTTCATTTACCCTCAGAGTAATTGCTCTCTTGCAGAGCGATGGGAATCAGTCATTTCTAAATTAAAATTTAAACAGGTAGAGGAGTTAAAGTTCAACAATTGATCTTCATAACTGTGGGCAATGTTCTGAATTTACGAAGCCGGAATACATGAATAGAATTTTCCATGCAGGTGTATGAGGTGCATAGTTATTACAGAGTCATACATTTGACTGTGACACAGCTGCAAACCGGTGTATGTCACAGGACTGAAGGTGTATTTACGTGCAGCTGAACTCTGGAGTTGAGAACAGGTTTACTGCTAAAGGGCTTTTAAGTCCATAAAGGATGAGTGCGCAGCTGATCCGTACAAATAAAGACCAAGGTGTGGTTCTAAATCAAACACGGGCAGATAAAGAGACGTGGTCGTAAAAATAAACTGGCAGTGACTGACGAGAGACATTTATGAATGAAGACTTGAGGCAAAGTTAAAAGGAGCCAAGTTGTTCCACTCTTCAAGTCTCTTTATTAACCTTTGTCCATGTTTTCTTCTTTCCCAAACTTCTCTGCTTTATCTTCCATGTTTTGCTTGCCTTTAATCCCTGCTTTTTTTCTTTGCTATGTTTGTTTGTCGTTTTTGTTTGTCCCACGATGAAGATGAATTTCCAGGTTAGTCAGGCATGAGAATTTGATTTTTTTTTTTGCACATATAAAAGGTTGCTCTAAATGTTCATGTGACGATCGGCTAATTCACTCACAGTCAAACGATACAAACCTTCTTTAAAAACCTTAGGATGGTGAAAACATCCCCAACTTTAGGATTCCTTTTCCGCTCTTGTACCAAACAATGGTGAAAACATTCAAACTAGCAAAAAAATGCAAAAAATGGTTGCTAATGGATGGAAGACACTGTGATATCATTGATTTGTGTCCTAAGAACTGGACATCAACAACGAACTCGTTAGACGAAGCTTCTTGATAAGTAGTGTGTACACATTTTAAAGCATTCGTCATAAATGACACGACGTGCTTAAGGAATGGAGCGAATAATAGTAGAGAAATCGTCCAATCTCCACGCTGTTGTCCATCTTTAACAAATATGTACACCTCCCTAAGGCCAGTTATCCAGGGTAATTGAGGGCGATGACTCCGGTGGCTCATGTTTGTACAGCTGTTGAAAAACAAACAAGATTCCCAAATATTTCTCATCTCATGAGCAATTTCCCACCTTTCCAAAATGCAGCCGGTTTTGTTATTCTTTTAGGTCGTCAGTGTTTTCCATTGTTGCCAGATTTCCTTTTTCTATTCTTTTTTTTTTTAATTTTACATATTTTTATAAATAGTTTGTATTCTACCAGTCACAAACACAAATCTTCACACCTCAGTTGTAATTTTACATCCCGCTCCGACAAGTTCAGAACATCAGTTAACGTTCCTGGTGATATTTGATGCTTCACATCAACATAACGAAATAAATAACCAAGAGACAGAACATTTTTCATCGCTACGTCTCACAAAAAGTCAATACAATTTTTGATTTATTTTTTATGATTATTTTGATTATTATTATTTTCCCCCTCTTCAACCTCTGACCGTCTCTCCTGAATCACTCCAATTTAGGCGTGCTGTTCCTGCAGTACGGCGATGAGACGCGGCGGGTGCACATCACGCACGAGCTGAGCAGCATGGACACGCTGCACGCTCTGATCGTCCACATGTTCCCTCAGAAGCTAACCGCGGGGATGCTCAAGTCCCCCAACACGGCCATCCTGATCAAGGACGAGGCAAGGAACGTCTTCTACGAGCTCGAGGACGTCCGTGACATCCAGGACCGCAGCATTATCAAGATTTACCGCAAAGAGCCCATCTACGCCTCCTATCCGGCTGCGGCACACCTGGCCAATGGAGACCTGAGGGTGAGTGGGATGGATGTAGGTGTGAAACTTTTTTTTTCTACATTTAAATCATGCTAATATGGAATATTATGAGTGGGAATAACATGGGATTAGCCTGACATATGCTGTTAGTGTTCTGTGATAAGGCTCCTCTATAAGTTTGATGACAGCCTCAGTGTTCAATAGTGTTCTGTGATAAGGCTCCTCTATACGTTTGGTGACAGCCTCGGTGTTCAACTCCGGCTCCCAGTTACTAACAAGGTTTGAGTTTGAGTTTCGTGTCAGAATCTGAGTCACATAAAGGTTCAAGTGAAGTTCACATCTAATCAAGTCCCCAGTACTGTGGTGTCCGAGCGAGTCTCCAAGGTTTCAAGATTCAAATCTGAGTCATCAGTACCCCACGAGAGGATGAGTGTATCCAGGCAACTGCTTACTCTGACGGGGTTGGCTCCGTCAATTTCTTATATAAACTTCATAGAATGGAAAAAAAGAAAATATAGCAACAAGCAACAAGTGTTGTTGGTTAATTGAATCACACAGATTGGTTATCGGTGTAACCCAAAGCTAACTGAGGTTAGCATGACTCGACTCGGAAATAGGCAACTGGAGTTGAAACATCTCCCGAATAAATATAAATAAAGCAGGAAAATACATGGACAACTGTAGGACCAGACAGGCCTGATAGGGTTAGATCACTAGAGTAACATTTGGACCTGATCGTTCATTTCAGAGGGAGATGGTCTACTCCTCACGTGACTCCTCCCCAACTCGCCGTCTCAACACCCTCCCTTCGTCGTCTTCCTCGGCGACGTCCGGCTCACCGTCCCGCTCACGCCTCTCCTACAGTGGAGGCCGTCCTCCGTCCTTCGCCGGCTCTCACCCTCAGCACGAGCAGGGTCGTCACCCGCACCATCCCTCAGCCAACCACAGCGCTAACTCAGTCCTGTCCCCTTCACCTAGTGCGATTCTGGAGCGCCGCGATGTGAAGCCAGACGAAGAGGTCTCAGCAAAAAACCTGGCATTAATGAAGAATGAAGCCTTGTACGCAGATCCGTACAGCCTGATGCACGAGGGTCGCCTCAGCATCGCCTCCACCCAGTCTTTAGCCGCCCTCGGAGACCCCTTCAATTTCCCCGTGTCCACTGGTCTATACCGTCGGGGCTCTGTTCGATCCCTCAGCACCTATTCGGCGGCCGCTCTGCAGGGGGACCTGGACGACCCCCTCTACAAGCCTGGAGGGTCTCTCTACTCTGACACATACTCCTCAGCCACCCTGGGAATGGGGTTTCGCATGCCGCCCTCATCCCCACAGAAACTCCCCGACATGCAGCTGCGGGAGCGGGACTATTCCAGCTCACCTAGCCGAGCGTCACCTCTCAGGCAAACGTTTCGCAAGGACTCAAACTCTTCTTCTGTGTTTGTGGAGAGTCCAAAGTCGAGACCCAGCTCTGGTTCAGAGCCTCTGTGTCTGACGGCCGGACCAGGGGAAGGTGGCAGGGCCACGCCTGGCTTTGGTTCCTCCTTGACCGGTCAAGACTCTGACAGCAGCAGGTCAGTAACAAGGCTCCATGGTCAACTGTGGTTGTTTCTTTGTTTCTCTGAGATGGATGGAGGGATGGATGGATGGATGGAGGGATGGATGGATGGAGGGATGATGGATGGATGAATAAATGGATGGAGGGGTGGATGGATGGATGGTTGGATGGATGGATGGAAAGTTTCCTCTTCTAAGACCTTTTTTTTTTTAGCCTCTTCAGTACATTATGTCATTGATGTAACATACAGGGATCATCGGCTGGAGCGAATGGAGGCCATGGAGAAGCAGATCGCCAGCCTGACTGGCTTGGTGCAGAGTGTTCTGACCAGAGCACCGGACAGCGACAGCACGTAAGACTCCATTACAGCCCATTAACGCAGTACAACTCACAGACACTGCTTCAGCCCGGGAACGTTATTGACAGGGACAGCGGCAGACTATTATCTCTGCCATTATCAGTTCTTCACCGCTCAAGTGATGCAATTATTTCTTGTGAGCCGATTGCGAACCCAGAGCACACTGGCCTGTACTACGCAGCGCCGTCGATACATTGACAGATGATAGATTTCTGTTTCAGTCAATATCACGCGGCGGTTCACACTCATAACAGCACAACAGCTGCCTCTTAACAGGAGCACCTGCTAATGTGATCACTGTGATAGCATGCACTGGACGTGCTGTCAGCGTTAGCAGTGTAATCGGCTTGCCCTGTGGCCATTAATCCTCAGATGCGGCCTGCTGCGTCTCTGCATGATGGCCGGCTGCCCTCCGGACCAAGGATCGGAGTTCTCACGGCCCTTACCTTTCTCTTCCAGCGAGAAGACCGAAACTAACAGTGACGGCTCTGCCACTGGAAGTGAGTACAACAACTTAAGCTGGGGGGGGGACGGGGCGGTGGGGGGGGTCTGCTGCTATCGGAGGTAGAGAGAGCAGAGGAGGTTGAAGGACTGGTACGACACTCATTCTCATCATTGACGGATATGACGAGGATAATTCTTTCTCATTTAAACCATTCATGCCTCATGAATTTCGAAAGATTGAGAAATATTGATTATTTCACCGAGTTCTACTGTGACCAACGGATCAAATATAAGATAGAAGAAACGCGACCGGTTAATGGGTTTGATCAATTTTCCATCAATTACGCTATTGATTGAGGCACTAAAAATCATAATATAAAAAAATGAACGCAATTTAAGCCTTCTTTTCCTGTTATTTACTTGTCGTTCACTACCTTTTTAATGAACGGAAAAGGAGACAAATGACAGCAGATTATTTTCACACCTGTTTTTGTTTTTGACTGATCCGAACGATGGAATCATTAATATGGGAAGTTGTCAGGACTAAGTATTGCTTCAATCATAGTAGCAAAACTAAAAGAAGACACAACATTGACTAAATGTTGTCACCGAAAGAAAAAAAACAACTTTTTTTGTGTGATCAGTAACTGCTGTCAGCGACAGTTGTTCTTTGAATATCAACAATATTCCAAGGTTGTCCTGCTCTTCTGTCCCCGTTCTTCCATTCATTTCTTAGTAATTGACTCATTTTTTTTTTATTATTCCAGCTGGGCGGCTGAAGCACAAAGGTAGTTGACATCTTTTACTCTCCCATCATTTTTTATTTCCTATCTCTATGATTTGATTTCTCCTCTCGGACCTAACCTCCTGCTCTCTGCCCTCTGTTTGGTTGTTTGGTGTTGGGCACCTGTCGGTCTAATCCTCACCTTTTCCTCCTGGTTGATTTTTTGACGCGAGAATTTCTCCTTTTTTTTTTACTCTTTCCACAGTTTGAACTTTCTGGGTCTCTTGGGGGTTCCTAAAGGACGATCGGTTTTTTTGTTAAGAGGCTGACAATGTGTGTGTATATGTGTGTGTGTGTGTGTGTAGGGAGTGCTGTCATAGTGCAGCACTTAACCTTGTATTAAGACAAGATAATGGAAATCCCCATTAACAAAAGAAGCACAATTGTATTGGATAATATTAGCATGAATACATGTCACATTGTATTTATGTGAATCTGTGTATGTGCATCGGTTCCCTAAATACTATTTCTCCCTCTCTTTTTATTTGTTTGTTTCTCTGTGTGCATGTGTGAGAGGTTGGCAGGTTTAGATTATGTAGAAACTAGCTAAAAAAAAGCAGAAAAAGCAGGGTTGCTAGAATTTGTTGTTAAAATTTTTTTTTTTTAAATGGGTTGGTACTATAAAAAAAAAATCAAACCAGTGTTAAAGATCATCTGTGGAGAGAAAAAAGAGAACAAAAATGCATGTGCGAAACAAAATGCTAGCTAAGAACGTAGCTAAATTCGTAATTATACAAAGTAAAACTGCAGTTGTAAGCCCAGGGAGACCTAGAAGCTGGATTAAAAAAAACAAAAACAAAACATAAAATATAATTCACAATGTTAGCTAAGAACATAGCTACAAGCTAGCCTAATAATATCTAAACATGAGCTAATAAATAGAGTCAAGCTACTGCTAAACGTTTGCCAAACCGATATTTTAAGAAGTCAATTTGTCATTGAAAAATTGGACCTAAAAACTAATTGGACCTAACTCCACCTTACAACCTTACATTAGCTTAAACATATGAATCTGCAGTTGTTTTAAATTCTTCTCTGACTCACTGTCCTTTATAAATGTGCCGTATGTCATCCAGGCTGCCTTCAAACCAAACCCTGCGAACTGACCTCTTTGTTTCCCTACGACCTTCTGGTCACTCACCTTGTCCTACTCTGTAATCGGCAGCTAACACGCCATCGGCACCTCTGGCTTTGATGCCCCCACCACCTTCTAACAGCATCAGCCGCTTACAGATGCAGCTACACCTTCAAGGCCTGCAGCACAACGCAACCAGCTTGCGAAAACAGCTGACCCAACTGCGTAAAATGCAGGTATGTTCCTATATATACAGGTATGTTCCATATATATATATATATATATATGTATATATATATATAAAAAGGGAAAAAAATCCAGCCACATAAACAAATCTGTCAAGCTCAAAAATTTGACACTTAGATAGATTTGAAAGTTGAAAATGTACAACACAATAATTTCATCACCTTCAAATAATATCATCTATTTCCCTGACGATCGAAATGGACAACAGTCGACCTTCTGTAAAAGAATTATTTCTAACATTTCAGTTTTTTATGACACATTGAATTTCAGGCATTGACTCTACTTACATTTTATATTAGTTTGAAAAAAAGTTATAATTCTGTGACCAGAAAATCTCTCAGAGCGACTGTTTCCATAGTGAATCTTTTACTGCAGGTACATGCAGTACTGCCTAGTATTACAGCACATTTCATGCAATTGCTTTTAAAGTTGCCCATGTTCACCATGCGTCTGTACCTAACCGTGCAAGAGATAACGCATAATCATTGAACATTACATCACTGGAAGTCACGTTGGCTGCAGCAGAAGACAAATGGTTAAAGAAAATGTGGAGATGGGGCCTTTATTTATTCCATTTATGCCCTGATGCAAGAGTTTCCATGGTAACCCCAGAAGCAGTCAGGAGCAGACGCCGAGTTAAATGCTGTCGGAGGAAAAGCAGTGGTTTCAACAACTCTCAGGGGCAGAGAAAATAGCAAGAGAAAATGGCAGTGACAGATGATCGTCGCACGTCGCCTTTGTTTCTTGTATCAAAGCAGTCACAAGAGCTGCTTGAGCGGCGATGCAGGGAAATGGAGAGAACCAAACAGCCAAAATGCAGCTCTACTCTGACATTACTCCGTCGTGGCCGCCTGCTTATCCATCCGTGACCTCTGCATCTGGACCAATTTGTTGGCCAGTGCGATAAATGTTAGATGGCAGTCATTAATTATACATAGTTGCAGGTGAGACAGACTCACTGTGTAAACAAAAGCTTCAAAAAGTACAAATATTACTATTAATAATAAGAACAATGCTACAAGCGGCTAACACAAGTTAAATGACCAAACAGAGCTATTTTAATTTAGCCAAACTAGCTAACATTCACATAACTACATTTTTTCCAAAAGATAACTCATAGTAGCCTAAAAAAACATAAGCTAAAATAACTCCTAAAAGCTAATAAGAACAACTTGCTTAATTGTTGTTTTTCCAATGAAACTTCATAAAAATATTAGCAATGTTGTTGCCTTGCTACACTTCCTGGAACATAAGGCTGATCAATAATTGATTGGTCTTGCCTACTGGGTGCTTTCATCTCAGGAGGTTGTATTACATACAGCAGTTCTGAATACTAACACGCTCACAACACTGAGAGCCGAGTCAGCTCGGCGCTCACTGTTCACGTGACAGTCTTGGAGCCTGTGCTGTTCTTAAACAACAGCGCTAGCGAGCGTTTATGTGTCTCAAATATCAGACAGCAGAACTGTAAAAGCACACAGAGAGTGCGGTGATGGAGTTTTAATACATTTACCAAACCAGCAACAACAACAACAACCGGTTGTGAAAGTAGTAGTAGCTTTTCTAGCACTAACTGAGATTGGTGCCACGCAGGTTTACCCTCAGCATGGCAGACTAAAACCCTGGTCCCAAATTTAGGTAATTTCTTAAACTCAGCACAAACACTGACCGAATAGAAATTATTTTCAAAGGGAACCAACTTTACATGATAAAAACGACTCAAACGTCAACACAAATTCCAAGTAGCTGATCTGCTATTGAGTGAAGCTGATGTTTTTCGCTAAACCTTTTCCTCCATTAATTTTAATTTTAATCTTTATTCAAAATTGTGAATGTAATTTGTGAATCTTGACTTAACTTGAGCAGGTGTGGGAATCTCTGGGAGCTTCACGATTGGATTATTTGTGTCAGGATGTGGGAATCTCTGGGAGCTTCACGATTAGATGGGATAAGATGGGATTAGATGGGATAAACAAACACAATTTTAACACTTCTTCAAGTTTGGTTTTTAAATTAAATAAATTTTTTTTCAAGTTTGGTTTTTAAATTAAATAAATATAAATTCTCTTTCTTTTTCATCGATAAATAAGAAAAAAATGAAATTACTTTTAAACCTTAAGTAAAGGAAAAAGAATATGTGGAATTGTAAAACTGATTAGGGGCAACACATGGTACTTTTAAACCTTAAGTAAAGGAAAAATAATATGTGGAATTGTAAAAATGATTGAAAGATTGGAAGATTGAAAAAAAAATTCCAGTTCCTTCCAATTGGTGACGACTGCCAAAATGAGTCGATAAATGTCGCCTGTTAAAATTGTAAAATTGTTTTCAAACTTTACACACATGCAGATGGATAACCAGGACTCGGTGAGGGGTCTGTTGAAGCGGACGGAGGCGGAGCTAAATGTACGCGTTGCGGAGGCTCTGAGGAAGCAGGAGGACCCTCTGCAGAGACAGCGCCTCCTAGTTGAGGAGGAGAGGCTCAAGTACCTGAACGAGGAGGAGCTCATCATCCAGCAGCTTCAGTAAGTCCAAGTATAAAGAAGTCGGACGTGTTTCTCGACAGTGATATTGGAGTTCTGATACGATATTTCTAACTTATGCAGTTCATACGTAGGGGCGGATTACAGAGTGACCCAGTAATAAGTAGAAGTGTAATTAACTCCAGCACAGAGCAAGATTCTCATTAAGAAAAAAGGTCCAGCAGCCAATTGAAGTGGCCGTGGAACAAGATCATCCAGTCACCGGGGGGATTCCATAATCACTTCACATTTGGAAATGTCTTACTGAGTAATAATTCCTGGATCTGTGCGCATCAGAAAGGGCTGCTCACGCTTAATTTCAGATGATGAACTTGAACCATGGCCTGAGACTCTCTAGTCTCTTGTTTTACTGCTATTACTGCTATTGTGCCACCAGTCAACACAATAGCAGTACTACGGAAGCTTTATTATAAAAGTTTTGGTCTTTAAAAAAAAGAATTGTTGACTATATTTATGTTATGGAGTTTTATGTTTTTGTCTTCTTAATTAAGCCAATTTCTACCAATTTATGTTCATTTGTATTGTAATTTGTAATTGATTTACTTCTGATGAGCTACCGATCAACAAGCTTGTGGCTAATTATTAGCTATTGTTAGCCAGCTATCGCTATTCCAGGGCTAACTTCATTTAATTGTATATATCTTCACCTTTGGATTTACTGTGGATAGAATTAATGACTTTTGGCTCATTTTCTGTTGTTTTTCAAAGCAACTTTTAGTTAGTGAATTGCTATCGTAGTTTTATTTTTTCATTGACTATAACTAATACTGTATATCACCTGTTTAGTTCATATATTAATATATTTTAGTTCATTTATTCATATTTACATGTTAAGTTCATTTTGGCTAATATTAGGCTAGAAAGAAAGCGCTAACTTAAGCTAGTTCTTTTGATACATTTAACGTAACCCATTCTCGCTGGACAAGTTTTGCCAAAATGAATGAAATCCACACATTTCAAAAATAAATTATTATATCAAGATATGTTAACGTACCTGCAGAAAAAACCACCATATTTGCAGGTGTTATTTTTTTTTAAAAACACTAAATACAGAATTTGTTTTTAGATCGATGCTAGTAATTTCCACGGTAGCAGAGGTAGCAGAGGTAGCAGAGTCCCTGGTGCTCACCCTTCTTCTCTGTTCCATCTCAGTGACCTGGAGAAGTCAGTGGAGGAAATCCAGAAGGAGTCGTCTGTCAACCACAAGCTGGTGACAGTGCAGGAGTTGGAGGAGAAGGCCAGCGTGCTGAGAAAACTGGGAGAAACACTCACCGAACTGAAAAGTGAGTCACTCCGGCACATTTCACAGTCTATGCACCGGGAGGAGAACGGAAAAAAAAGTTAACTCTGGCAGACAATTTATAAAGCACTAATTAGTCACCAAGGCACTGATTGTCTTTTAGTCAGCCACAGCTGGTCTGTCAAACTTTTAATCATGAAGGCTCCGATTGCTCAGTTCGCTCGGTCTTAATGAACTCCCCTGGCCATTCATAGTAGCTCCAAAAACGTTTGTCTGATTACATTAGGAGTTTTTACATTGACAGTGACAGATAGAATTGATTTGTTTGGGCTAACTTACACGCTTTCTCCTGCAGATCAGTTCCCAGGCCTGCAGAGTAAAATGCGGGTGGTGCTCAGGGTAGAAGTGGAGGCCGTCAAGTTCCTGAAAGAGGAGCCGCACAGACTGGACGCCCTGCTAAAGCGCTGCAAGTCCATAACTGACACCCTCGCCACCATGCGGAAGTACGTACCTGCTCCAAAAATACAGTACAAATGGTGCCACGTCCTTATTCAGCAGCGAGGACGAAGTAATCGAGTTTCACTCTCACTGTCTGCGGGCTCGCGGAGAGAGAGGAAACACTTGTCCAGTTTGGCATCAGGCCACTGGCGCTGGCTCCATCTACTCTCTGAGGGTAACTTGGACCTGCTCCATGTGAGGCTGACAGTTCATCAAAACCTGCTTTTCATTTACAAGCCTTGTTAAAAAAAGCACAAATTTAAGCACGAATGTTCACTTTTAAGACAATATTATTTGTCCCTAGAGGCTACAATGTTGCAACCTGTGAACATTAACTGAAAGGATTTGTTCCACTAAGCCCTTAATAATAAAAAATATCAATAGCAGTGAAATTTACTAGAGGTTTTGTTGCAGTTTTGTCTAAGTGAGAGAATGAGAAAGAAGTAATTTTTATGATGTGATGATTCCGAAATACACGTTTAAACTCTCGTATGTTTTTACTTTTCTGTCGTTTTAGCAAAGCAAACGTCTGTTCCACTCGATGTTTTCATCATTTGTCACCTGTCACTTCATAATTACTTGTGTAAAGTTAATTATCCCATATTACTTGTCAGACAAGCAAATGATGGCGTTTGGAGGAAGCAGGAAGACTTCAACAGTTCCTCACTGAAGCACAACGACGACCTACGGAAGTATTCCGACTTCGACATTCCCACCAGCACATCACTCACCATCAATGACCTTGGTGGAGGCAACAGTCTGTCCAACTGGAGCCCTCACTCCAGCCTCAGTCAAGGCCATGCTAACCCATCCGGTCCTCACAAAGACAATTACCCACCTGTTCCACACAAGGGCAAAGCCCTGGAGGAGCTGGAGCGCCGCGCTGCCGACAAAGCTCTGTCCGTGGAGGTCCGGCTGGTGGGTACCATTTTTACCTCCCAACAGTTAATGGATGTAATTAGTGTATACAATCATAACAGGGTTTCACCCAGGTGTAGAGTGTTTACATCAAGCTCCTGGCTCCACAGGCTGCAGAGCGAGACTGGGAGGAGAAACGAGCCAGTCTGACTCAGTACAGCGCTCAGGACATCAACCGTCTGCTGGAGGAGACTCAGGCTGAGTTAATGAAGGCTATTCCAGACCTAGACTTTGCTGCAAAGCAGATAAAGCCGGCCTCTGTCACAACATCCTCCTCTCAGAATCCGGGTTTAACGACAACTCCAGAGCACCGAGCTAACAAACCTTCTCACAAGCTCTCTGGGAAGGAAGGAGGATCCAGACGAGGCTCAGGCAAGTGCTTCTGTGGAACGCTTAAAAACGGAAAACCTTTAAAAAAAATATAGTATAATTTATAAGGCAAATAAGCTTTTGACATATTTTAACATTTTTTAAGGATCTGATACCGCTAAAACTTTTGTTTATGCTTTTTTTTTTACTTTACAGGGAATAAGGCAAATAAGCTTTTGACATATTTGAACATTTTTTAAGGATCTGATACCACTAAAACTTTAGATTGTTTATGCTTTTTTTTACTTTACAGAGATGCACAATACTTTTTTTTGAAAAAAACCCCCAAAAACTATTGACAAGCAATAACTTTCTGTTTCCCAAACACCTGTGCAAATAACCAATAACTGACACCAATACTATAAACAAAACCAGAAACAGTTTTGACTCTTTAAATAAGGATATTTTTTAAATGTAAAACTATTAACAACTGTTTGATTTGATCTAATCATTCAGTGGAGGAAATCCAGAAGGAGTCGTCTGTCAACCACAAGCTGGTGACAGTGCAGGAGTTGGAGGAGAAGGCCAGCGTGCTGAGAAAACTGGGAGAAACACTCACCGAACTGAAAAGTGAGTCACTCCGGCACATTTCACAGTCTATGCACCGGGAGGAGAACGGAAAAAAAAGTTAACTCTGGCAGACAATTTATAAAGCACTAATTAGTCACCAAGGCACTGATTGTCTTTTAGTCAGCCACAGCTGGTCTGTCAAACTTTTAATCATGAAGGCTCCGATTGCTCAGTTCGCTCGGTCTTAATGAACTCCCCTGGCCATTCATAGTAGCTCCAAAAACGTTTGTCTGATTACATTAGGAGTTTTTACATTGACAGTGACAGATAGAATTGATTTGTTTGGGCTAACTTACACGCTTTCTCCTGCAGATCAGTTCCCAGGCCTGCAGAGTAAAATGCGGGTGGTGCTCAGGGTAGAAGTGGAGGCCGTCAAGTTCCTGAAAGAGGAGCCGCACAGACTGGACGCCCTGCTAAAGCGCTGCAAGTCCATAACTGACACCCTCGCCACCATGCGGAAGTACGTACCTGCTCCAAAAATACAGTACAAATGGTGCCACGTCCTTATTCAGCAGCGAGGACGAAGTAATCGAGTTTCACTCTCACTGTCTGCGGGCTCGCGGAGAGAGAGGAAACACTTGTCCAGTTTGGCATCAGGCCACTGGCGCTGGCTCCATCTACTCTCTGAGGGTAACTTGGACCTGCTCCATGTGAGGCTGACAGTTCATCAAAACCTGCTTTTCATTTACAAGCCTTGTTAAAAAAAGCACAAATTTAAGCACGAATGTTCACTTTTAAGACAATATTATTTGTCCCTAGAGGCTACAATGTTGCAACCTGTGAACATTAACTGAAAGGATTTGTTCCACTAAGCCCTTAATAATAAAAAATATCAATAGCAGTGAAATTTACTAGAGGTTTTGTTGCAGTTTTGTCTAAGTGAGAGAATGAGAAAGAAGTAATTTTTATGATGTGATGATTCCGAAATACACGTTTAAACTCTCGTATGTTTTTACTTTTCTGTCGTTTTAGCAAAGCAAACGTCTGTTCCACTCGATGTTTTCATCATTTGTCACCTGTCACTTCATAATTACTTGTGTAAAGTTAATTATCCCATATTACTTGTCAGACAAGCAAATGATGGCGTTTGGAGGAAGCAGGAAGACTTCAACAGTTCCTCACTGAAGCACAACGACGACCTACGGAAGTATTCCGACTTCGACATTCCCACCAGCACATCACTCACCATCAATGACCTTGGTGGAGGCAACAGTCTGTCCAACTGGAGCCCTCACTCCAGCCTCAGTCAAGGCCATGCTAACCCATCCGGTCCTCACAAAGACAATTACCCACCTGTTCCACACAAGGGCAAAGCCCTGGAGGAGCTGGAGCGCCGCGCTGCCGACAAAGCTCTGTCCGTGGAGGTCCGGCTGGTGGGTACCATTTTTACCTCCCAACAGTTAATGGATGTAATTAGTGTATACAATCATAACAGGGTTTCACCCAGGTGTAGAGTGTTTACATCAAGCTCCTGGCTCCACAGGCTGCAGAGCGAGACTGGGAGGAGAAACGAGCCAGTCTGACTCAGTACAGCGCTCAGGACATCAACCGTCTGCTGGAGGAGACTCAGGCTGAGTTAATGAAGGCTATTCCAGACCTAGACTTTGCTGCAAAGCAGATAAAGCCGGCCTCTGTCACAACATCCTCCTCTCAGAATCCGGGTTTAACGACAACTCCAGAGCACCGAGCTAACAAACCTTCTCACAAGCTCTCTGGGAAGGAAGGAGGATCCAGACGAGGCTCAGGCAAGTGCTTCTGTGGAACGCTTAAAAACGGAAAACCTTTAAAAAAAATATAGTATAATTTATAAGGCAAATAAGCTTTTGACATATTTTAACATTTTTTAAGGATCTGATACCGCTAAAACTTTTGTTTATGCTTTTTTTTTTACTTTACAGGGATGCACAATACTTCTTTTGAAAAAAAAAACCCAAAAACTATTGACAAGCAATAACTTTCTGTTTCCCAAACACCTGTGCAAATAACCAATAACTGACACCAATACTATAAACAAAACCAGAAACAGTTTTGACTCTTTAAATAAGGATATTTTTTAAATGTAAAACTATTAACAACTGTTTGATTTGATCTAATCATTTCAAATAAATATCTATTGAAATAAGGTGCATTACTTATTGATATAAAAATAAGGGCATCTACTGTAGAATAGAAATACATTGCATCAGGATTGAATACAAAATAAAAAATACAAATTAATAATTTATAATAAATTAATAAGTAAAAATAAATACATTCAACAATTATATAATAATATATAAGAGGTTGATATCAAGAAAATTCAACAACTACCTACATTTGGACTGATTTAACGATTGTTTACAGTGAGATAGTTGTTTTTCCGATTATGTCGATGTAACTTGAGGAGCTTTTTTGTTTATTTTAATTATCTTTTTTATTGCAGATGAGCTAACAGTGCCTCGATATCGCACAGAAAAGCCCTCAAAGTCTCCTCCACCTCCGCCTCCTCGACGGAGCTTTCCTTCTTCTCCAGGCCTGACCTCACGCAGTGGTGAGCCACTGATTCCTGGAAAAAGTGTTAAGGTAAGATACGTTTGTATAAGTTTTCAGGCAGAGATTGCATTATTATGAAATTATTTCATATGTTGATTTAACAAAGACGGTGCCGACTGAAGACTTTTTAAAGAAATGTAATCTACCCTACAGCAGCTTTTAACACCGCAACGCGACTTTTTAAAGAAATGTAATCTACCCTTTTAACACCGCAACAATTTCACACGGACCACATACATTTACTGGCTCTCATCTGATTTAAAATGACAATAAAGGAGTCACAAGAAGCAGGAGAGATATTCTTGTTCGTTTGATTTTTGTCGCCCACATTTCTGACCCGTATGAAACCCCTTGGTGTATTTACTATTGTAGAAGTCTGAGTCTGAAGAGACTGATGTCCAGAAGCCACATGTAAAACTGAGAAGGGCCGTGTCTGAAAACCCTCGTCCTGCTTCCACACCCCCAACACTGGCTACCGGAGACAGGCAAGACGGGGAGGAGGAGAAAAAAGCCGCCGAATCGGAGGTGAATTAACTCATGTTAAATAATTTCCAACAGCCCGGAAGTGAATGAGTTTGAAAATCGGATTATTTTCTTGTTCATGTTTAATCGACTCCCAGTCTGCCCCTGGCTTTCTCTGCACCAATCCAAACCATGTGTGCGCACGAGTCTGCCCCTGGCTTTCTCTGCACCAAACCATGTGTGCGCACAGTTTTGCTCACTGCCACATGTTCCAGCAGCAGGTGCCTTCTGTTGCCCCTGCCTGTGGCAGTGGGCGAACCCAGAGATCACATACTGCTTATTCACACACATCATCAGTCAGGGCTCACAGATCACAGTCAGGCAGATGCACCGAACACTACTTGGACTCTGTTTGAGATGCCCTGTCGCAATTGTGATAAAACTGTGGCTCAGCAGCAACTGGTTTGGATCCTAAAATCACGTTGTGCTTGTTCTATGGTAACAATTTTTGAACATTCCCTTTACCCCATTCTCGGTTTTGTGTGAGAGCTCCACTCAGACTGGTCACTGTGGTAACACTGATCACACTGAGTGTTATGTCTGTTTGTTATTTTTCAGCCTCGAAAAACCTCCACTCACACTCCACACTTTCTCCACCACGACACATGAATGCAGAAGATGTCACCACTGAATCTAGTCTGTTTGTGCCCTAAAAAAATACATCACATCAGTATCAGTCTAATCCATAGAGTTTACAGTGAGGCCGAGTTGTCTGTTAAGTGAGTGCTAACTTATTCCACAATCGATATTGTAATCGCTGAGTCGTTATAGAGATTTGACGAGTGAAGACAGGTCCCCTGGTCATCAGTACACTGGACGTCTTTGTTGATTGATCAACTGACCAATCTTTTATTTATCAGAAAATCATTGATGAAAATGATTCTACTTGCAGCCCTGGTTATAAAACTCTTTACAAGTGTCTCTTGTGATAGCTCTAGCCACCGTTACAGAACGTTATTGTTTCTTCAAAATAGCAGTGTTCAGACTATAATGATAAAAAAAAGGTTTATTAGTCCTTTAGTTACTCCAGGATGGACCGTTTAGCAGTGATCATAACCCTTTCCTTCGTTCATTCAACTGTGATTCGACTCAGACTGGTCGTGTTTCACGTTTTTGACTTTAAATGACATCAAAGTGCTTCCTTCTTCACAGGAAACTTGCATGTCTCCTGTCCCACACATCGTGTTGACAGCCTGTTCCACAGTTTCACTCTCTGCTTCAGAAGACCCTGTCAGGGATGTACCAAATAACGCAGCAGAGAAGAGACCCTCACGGGATCGAACGGATCACCCCAGCCTTAGACAAACTTTTAATGAAATAGATTTCTGTCGGGGCCTTTCTCAGCCAAAGAGTGAAAATGTGGATCTGAAGCAGGAACTTGCCCTGCTGTTGACCGAGACTGAGGTGAGGGCCGTGACATTTTTTGAGGCCCGAAAGCTCAGAGAGTTTTCTGGAAAAGATCTCAAGACGTTGACCATCTCAGCATCGACAAAAGACGGCTGTGAAGTTCGACTGGAAGAGTTTCCTCTTCTTGTGCTTTTTGTGGAGAAAATAGGTTTGAAAGAGGCGTACAGGCAACTGTTGTCCACTCTTAATTCGAGAGTGAAGTCCTCCCTTCATTCAGTTAGGCAGAACCGTCTGGCGGAGGCTCTGAGAAGAGGAATGGAGTCCGGGGACGTGGTTCTGAGGCTTCAGAACAACACTGTGACGATTCCTCCCGATCCCAGCGGCTCTTTGGACAGGGGGAATCAGAGGAGATCGACTGGGGATGTGCGGCGCAGTGCCTACATGAGGCTGGACAGCTTGGAGGAGACCATTAGAGAGCTGGAGAACACCCTGATAGAGATCAGCGGCCATTCTGTGGAGCAGCTCTACGGCGACACCAATGCTCCAGCGCAGACGCCCATCAGTCCAGCGTCTGTCACCAAGAAGCCTCCGGTTCCGCCCAAACCGTCGTCAGCGAGCGCTGCATCAGTCCAGGTTCATTCTAAACACCTGCTGTTGTTCTTTCTTCACTTCTTCTCCCTGAGCGGTTGTCAGACCTTTTCAAACCTCTGATGTCTGCTCCCCCGATTAAATTCACTTCAGATTGTGTCTTTGATCGAAAATATTTCTAAAGGGGAAAGACAGCAGACCTGACCTGCTCCTGCTCCTGTGTCTGCTCTGTGATTGGTGCTGAAGACGCTGTCCCTGCTGCGCTCAGTCAGTAGATAATTGCTTCTTCATTGATCTGTCTTTGTGGCTTCTCACTCTGTAAACATGACCCGAGGCTGTCTTTAAATAAAAAGTCCCGCAGAGTGGATGCAAAGACGGTTTCTTTTTCCTTAACTTTTCTTATTTCACTCTGGGTGTTTTCCATTTTCCGTCTTCTCTCCTTCTTGAACTGTGTGCACTGTTCTATCATGATGTAATATATATAAAAAATACATAAAAATAGCACAAATCAACCGCTTGACTGCTGCGGAACTGCTTTGATTATGGTTTGATCTCGCCTAAATATTGTTTTTAAAATCACTTTTATGGTCCATTATCTTTATTTAATTATTCAGCAAATTTGATACTGGGTATTGACTTTTTTTTTTGCTGTAAATGATGCAGTTTTTTTTGTGATTTTTTGCCTATTTATTAATCGCTACAGCCATATTGATACTTTTAGATATAGTTTTTAGATATTCTTTGGGTAGATTTGATTGATTTGAAGAGCTTAGTGGTTTGTCAGTGTTATTAAATCTTACCACATCTTATCCCCAACCTTAAATCACAAACATAATACACTTGAAAAAAAATCTATTGACAACCCTAAACCTCCTGACTGCACAGTACACAGAGTGTACCTTCAGGTGTGGAACCCAAAGAGTGCATTGCCGATTATTCAAAGCTGCAGCAGTGGATGTTTACATCCATCACGGTGGCTCTCAGCTCCGCTGATTTACCTCAGCAGTCCATTCTCTGGGCTCCACATGAGAGTTAGTTGCAGCCTGTTTCATCACTCCAAAACTTTTACCGCATGTGTCCACTTCCACTCCAGACTAATATTAACTTGTGTTCTCACGAAGCTCACCTTGACAAGCGGTGTGATTCCACGGCTCGTTACGGTCGTTTTTTAACAAGCACAGTAAAGGCAATAAAGAACAGTGCGTCGGCCTTGATTTAGGTACAGTTCATCTCTGCGTCAGTGTCGAGTCACATTAAGATGAGGAGCAGCAGTGAGAGGGAGGAGTCGTACGAGATGGCTGTCGTTAAACTTTAATTTGTTTTCCTTTCAGCTAATGTCTTTGTGCGCAGCTGGATGGAAATTTGACTGCGCGTGTGTGTTTGTTTGTTTCTGTGCGAATTAGATGGAGTTGACAGAGTTAAGTCAGCTGGAAAGTCTCCTTCGGTGAAGTCTCCTTCGAGTGAATCCTGCTGCCGATCAGATCGTCTGTAGTTGTTAAACCCAACCATCCAGTTCAGTTTCAAGCTGCTGAATGTTAAACTTAAAAACCTCATTGGTCGCAGGACACAGACTTGGTACATAGCTTAAGTGTCGTATTAGCTGTAAACCAATAATAAACACAGTAACTTTAGATTAAAATAAAGCCTCGATTAGTAGTTTGTTAATTTACTGATCACTTAACCAGACAAATGAACAAAGAAAACATGTTTTTCTTCTATCACGGTCATTAAGCAATTCGATTTTTTAATGTGATTACTTGTTATGACAAAGTAGCTCATCATAGTAAATTGTGATTAATCATGCTTATAATTAATCATGATTAATCGAGATAAATCTACGTGGAGTAAATCAACATTTAACAGCATTTTTTATGTATACTGCGGGAACAAAAAGTTACACCAGGTAGATGTGTGTGTTTTTAGTCAAACAAAATGTTTACCAGCAGTGTGTTCAAATACCGTAATGTTCACCAACTGCATTAGAGCCATGATAAGTGGATGGCTGGTGGAATTAAGGTATGAATGTATTAATAAATTAAACATTTTAATTCATATATTGATATTAAAGCAATAGATGTATATAATTTAAACAATGTTGGAGTATCAGGACGGGATACTGTATCAAAGGAGTATCTACCAAAGAGTCCAGCTGCAGTCCGTGTGTATTGACGTGGGGTTTTTTTTTTTTTTGTAGTAAAACACTAAAAGCGCTGTGTTCTTTTTCCTTGATAAAATGGAGAGCAAATACTTTTTGAAATGTCAAAATGTTTTTTTTTTCACTCTGTTTTTAATTCCCTTCTTCTCCTCCGCTGTTACTGCAGGGACAAAACAGTTTGAGCAGCGGTAAAGTTCTCCAGTCCTCAGCTACCTCTAAGCTGAAGCAGCTGCAGCAGAACAGCACAGAGAAGACTAAAGGTGGCAGACGAGAGGACTTTATGAAGCTCCAGGGCCAGCAGCAGGTATCACCATCACCATCATCATCATTATTATTATTATTATCGTCAGTATTATTTAGCTTCATTTAGCACATGAGATTAAATGAGAATTTTGGCAGTTTCAGCGCAGGCACAGTAAAATTGTTGTGTATTTAAAGGAGCCCTGCGCATAATGGGGGGCATTGAACATGATACAAATTAAGATTATTATCAACAGACACAGGATATCGCCGTGTCCTCAGACTGAGGTTCAGGCAACGCGAGGTAATGATCTGTGTCTTTTATAAATCAAGACAAATAGGCGAGTGCCTTGGCCGGGGAGCAGTATTAAAAACATTTTTCACCCGTGCAGTTGATGACCTTGTTCTTCATATAGTAACAAATGGTCATAGAGGTGACCAGCAAAAGTTTTAGATTTCTCAAAATAAGATGAAAGTGTGCGTGAAAATCTCTTCAGGCTGGTCAGGGCTCCAGAAGGTAATACCATCCAGCTGTAGCCGACACACCGGATTTAGCATCACGGTCTAAAAAGCACAGCTGCATGACTCCACTAACCTCTGCAAATGTCAGACTGCAGTAGTATTAGAGGGGAAAAGGTGTGTTTATTTTTTAACTGCAGTAGGTTGCAGGGATTTTAGTGTAATTTTAGCCGTATTTATACCAGCTAACAGGTGATTATCATGTTAAGTCTCTAACCAATGAACACCAAGGAATACTTTTCACATTTAAATGCAGTTTTAAAATTTCAGTGGTCATTTTGGTCACTGCTGGCTTTGAACTGCTGTGTTCATGCGTCGCAACTAATGAAAGCGTTTGAGGTGGGACTGATAGAGCAGATAAAGCCAAGACCTAGCAGCGACAGCAAAAGTGTTCTTAATAGAACCAGAGATATTAGTAAGGACTGTGAAGTAAAATCAGTAAAGTACTTTTAGTCAGAAGTACCACTTTTTTAAGTTAATGCTCCAAAAGTACCAGTTATAATGTTAAGCATAACATTATATGATATATAATGTTTATATATATATATATATATATATATAGTCATGGGTTCGATTCCCAGAGGAACCACATGACCCTAATAGCGCCTCCTGTGGCAGCCTGTGTCTGTTGCTGTAATACATATGCAATTTTGATATACAATGCATGCAAATACCAAGTCCTAGAGGTCCAACCCTTTGTATGGTGGAACATTACTTCAATATACAACGTTTTAACAAAGTATCTTATTTTTTATTAGAGTCATGACCACTAGGGCACTATGTGACTTTAAGACATATTTTTCCGAGACCGTGAAATAAAAAAAAATATTATTGATAACTGATTTATTGATCCTAAATTATTTTTCGGTTTGTAAAAATTCCATTGTGACTACAGTTCATCACTACATCATTGGGTTCCATCCTCCAGTTTGCTTAATTTTGTTAATGTTCTTTAAAAGACATAACTGTCATATCAAAGGCGCATGGTGACACATGCAAAGTAACCTGCATTCATTTGAATGGTAATTTGGATCTCCATTAGCATTTGCATATATACAGTATATATAGGGTGGGGTGTATAGGAAGGTAAGGTTTATACACTGGTGCCCGACTTGAAATGACTGGACATAAGGAATTCAGATTGGTCTCTGAAGGCCTGGGAATTGAACCGTTGAGGCTTTTCCGTCCAGTAAATCCAAAGGAAGATTTTCCGCACCGTGCCTTTACAAAGAGGGTAGAGAAATCTTAATGTGACTGTAATTTGAAAAATAACAAGAGCAGTGAAGTGCGTCCAGTCTTCCGTACTGCCCAGAAATTCATTCTTGGGAGATAGAGAAATAAATGCGTTGGGCAGAGAGAGAGAGAGAGAGAGAGAGAGAGAGATGGACAGATAATGAAGCCTTGGTCACTACAGACCGGGAGAAGATTGGACCAAGTCCCTGCAGTGCTGCGGAATAATTGCCCTTTGAGTTAGTAGCAATCTGAGATCATTTGAGATGAAGAGGACATGAGCCTTTCACCTCCATTAAGTCTTAAACGTGTTCTCCTCTTTGTCGGCAGCTTTGCTTCTTTTACTTTCTGAACTCCGCTCCAACAGTCTTAACCAGAGTGTGGTATTTGAACAAGTCAGCACATGTTCACTTCCTTTATGTAAGAAGCCAATATTTATAATCATTATCCACAAAAAAATACAGCAAATCATGAAAAATACATTATCAAAACCATTAGCATCCTACCGCTAATAGCCAGCCGCGCGCCATGATGACGAAAAACAGACCGCTGCTGTTGTGTTTTGGGATTAAAGTCAGACTTTTGTGCGTTCTAGTCAAACAAAATTAGCCGTCGACTTCTGGAGAAAGTTCTAGTACAGTGGTTCTCCAACTTTTTATACGCTGTACCACCTGAGAAAACATGACCAACATTAGAATATAGCAGCATAGGCCTTTCCTTAGCTTAGCTAATTAGCTTCCACCACACAGGAGAGATGTTTATGTTTAAATGTTGTATTAATTGTGTATACGTATGTTTCAGATTTATTCAGTTGAAAATGTAAATGTGAAAATATGAATTTTTCCCACGTACCACTGGTGGTACCCGTACCACAGTTTGAGAACCACTGTTCTAGTATATTCTAAGTCAGAAGTGCTAACTACCAGGTATTGGGCTGTATGTTAATTGACACCGGGCTGCTGAGAGAAAACTCAAATAATGTATTAATTGTTTTTTATCAGTTAAAAAATATTTTATTTTGAAAAATAACCATTTTCTTACTCAGTCAAAATGCTATTATTTTGACACATGTTGGGGTCTTGTCAGTCATTAGAGAGCGTCTTTAAAAAGATTTTAGAGAAACTATGCTAAAACACAATATGGTTCAGATTTTTGTCTCATTCCAACTTGTAGTTTTTACGGGAACCAACCCTTTTGTCTCATTCCAACTTGTAGTTTTTAGGGGAACCAAAGTTTTTATTAAATAAGAACAGCTCTTACATTCATAAAACTTCCATTTTTAAACCCTTACTCTGTATAAAAGTATTTATCTAAAACACAGTTTTCTCGAATTTGCTTCCCTATAGTATGATTCCATCATTTTAGCACCAAACTTTTCTCTAACTCTGTCTCATCAGATTGAAAAAAAAAAAGTAAAAAAACTGAACAGTGTAAAAGTGAAGGCACGGCGCTAACTGATGGCATAAGAAGTCAACGACCAGCTGTTTAGGATGACACACAGGTGTTTGTCTGCATAAATTTGTCAATAGCTGTAATTTGTAGCATTTTTTGAAGTATGTGCCGACAGTCACTGCGAGAGATGAAATAGTGGAGGTGTGAAGAGGTCTGTCGGAAAAAAGGTGACGATTTTCAGGCGGAGAATAATTCCCTCGCTGAAGTAATCTGTAGACAAAGTGTGACAAGAGTGTCAGAAAATGTCTGGATTCATAAAAGTGAAAGTGTAATGAAAAAAAAGTCCTTTTTCCATCTCTTTGTTCTTACTCTTTCTGATAATAAATGTATTATTAATATTATATATATAAAACATATATTTATGTATATATGTTTGTCTATTTGCATTGTTTGTAAGTGAAATAGATTTGCCACGACAGCGCTGAATTTTATTTTTTATCCGAAGAAGGACTTTTTTTTTTCATTATTGAATTATTAAACTTCAACATTTCCTAATGCCTGTTGCTTCATGGCGACATAAAAATTTTTACGAGCGTTTTTATTCCGTGCCTTTTAACAAATCGCCACCCTCTGACTCTGAAGCAGATTCAAACAGTTAATCTCGTGTTCGCTGCGGTAATGATGTCAAAGAAATAAAAAAAGCCCTATGGTAATTAAACACACACACAAAGGAACCAATTGAACTTGAATTTATTAGACTGAAAACACACGCTGCACTGAGGACAGCTGCTTGACCGGGACTGTTTCTCAGTGCAATAAGCATAGGTTTAATGATTCAACTTTAAAAAAGTGTAAGTACTTAAAACACGGTATTGAAAAGAGGCAAGGGGGGGGGGGGGGTAAGTTTGTCCATAGGACTTTCTGGACCCCTTGCAAATTGCCCATTTGTCTCATATAACCCACTGTAAACCAGCATCGATGTCCACGAGTGTCTGTTGATCATGCCTGTGCCGGGTGCTCAAAAACGACAACATTCATGGAGGTCACGATTCTTAGAACCAATTAATTTGGGTTTGGTTTGAACAGCTGTTACTTTTAAAATAGCCTCAAAATAATCTCCAAAGCAGAGAAGCACAGATCCTGACAGCCTCGCTCACAGATGGAGGGTAAAATATTTTCTCTTTAATGTGTTTTTAAACTCAACTTCAAAAGAAAGTACAGCAGCTTGGTGGTTCCCAAAGTTAGGGGCGGGTTCCTTTTGAGTGACTGGTGTAAGTGACATTTAGCTTGAAACTAACCAGAAAGAGTTAGCCACCTTGGCCACCATTGAACCTTTAGCATCCATTCTGACGGTGCTTGTTTGAGTCGTAATATAACCCTTATCTCCATGGCGCCTACATTTACTTGATGTTTTTTGTCTGAAAATCAGCGTCCATCATGGGTGATCTCTCCACTCAGCCATCAGCTAAAGGTAAAAGTGACTTCTCTTTAAAAACTTCCCTGAACCTTACACCCTAGATGTAGTGCTATCCCTAACGCCTACCCCGCCTACCAGGTCCTCGTGTTTCGTGTTTTAGTCTGTTTCCGTCGTTTTCTTTCCTGTTGAGATGTGAGCAGCTCACATTTGGTTGTCGTCCCACCCACAGCTCTAAAAATATCTATCAGTTGAAGTTAGCATCGCTGTTACTGGCACAGTTCTCATAGTAACAGCATCGATCGTCATGAAAGCCAGCTGGTGTTTGGTAACATGTTGGAAAAGCCAGCTGGATGATCTTTTTTTCCCCTTAAAAACTAATTGCACTCGCAGAGTTACTTATCTCAGTTGTTTGTTTGTTTTTTTACCTTATGCAGATGAAATGTGACAGCTGCAAAAAAACACCTCTCACTTTTCAACACCAAGCAGAAAAGCTTGAAAAATCAGGTTGGATAAGAGTCTTAAAAAAAAGTTTTGAAATTGTTACACAGTCAGAGAAAGCATTTCAGATTTCTGGATGTAGTAGTTAAAATAATTTGCCTTAACAAAAGTTACCAGGTCTTAGTAGAGGCAAGAATATTTTTTTTAGCGTCAGATTGCTAAAAATAAATTATCGTTCTCTACCATATAACTATAGCATATTCTATACCACATGTGTCAAACTCAAGGCCAGGGGGCCAAATGCAGCCCCTCATTTTGTATGACTTGCTGGAGATTTTATTTTTGTTTTTTTTATGCTAAACATTTTTAATTTAGTATAAAGTTAGCTTAAAGTGGTTTAAAAATCGATAAAGATGAGTAAGACAACATAAAAAATAGTTGTAAGTTTCTAAGAACTAAACCTTCAATGGTAACTTTTAACAATAAAAAAGGATAATAAATTTAGATTTCGATACATTGAATTAGCTTAAGTAGCTAATTGAAATACCCCAGCATAAATATTAACACCGTTAGCCTGTTTGAATTTAGGCCACGCTACATAGAGGCATCTCTAAAACGGCCTTTTAAATTCAGACTTAATCAGTGGAATGGAAAAAAATGTCCAAGTGTTTTCTGTTGTCTTTTTTTTTCTCACCACTACTTTGACTGTGATTATTAAACTGAATGTTAATTTGAGGCGTTACAATTAACAAAGAAGTTCAGCTGGCGCTCTGTTCCCCTGTGTCTGTTTTGTCTCCTAACAGAGCTTCACAGACAGAGGATCGTTCAAATGAACGTTCTGGACGGTTTAAAACCACAAATTCTCTGCAATTACTGTGGCTCTGATCAGGGCGATCATTATAACGTCATTTACTTTTATGCCATGAAATTCCATTTAATTGTCCCAATTGTTTTTTTTTCCTTTTTTAACTTCTGGTGGTAAAACAGGCTAATTAATGTGGTGAATGTGGCCTTCTGGGTAGCACAGTATTTCGGAATGTGTTGACCTGATTGGAGAGCAGATCCAGGAACTGTCCTGCCCTGTGGGGGTTGAACAAATGAAAACCTCTCCGTCCAGACTCACACACCTGCTATCCCTCTCCGACTGTCCCTTTCACAGTCGCAGCGAAACCCTCCCTCCTGTTGCTCCTCGTGAAAGATGCACCTTAAATAACCCCGTGGGTCCTGTTCCTCTACCTTCTCTGGTGTGTTGTGCTTGTGTTCTGTTCTATTCCCTGCATGTGAGCCACAAATAGTTGGTCACAATAGTGGCAAACAGTAGTTTGCGTCGTTGTGAGCACTTGTGGTTGACATGCTGGGATAGCGCCACCTGCTGGCTCATTCCATCGTTACATGAAGGCACTGAAGCAGAGATGCCTGGTGTTTCTCGGGAGTCCAGGATGGATCTTAAGACTTTCATTGGTCTCATGTTGCCAAACAAAAAAAAACAGCCTTGTTCTGGCAGGAAGTGGGTTCAGCGGTTTAGGGAGTTGGAGTTAATGTATTGTTCCCCTTGGGGACCTAGATCAGAGGTCTCCCAACCCCTGGTCCGCGGACCAGTACCAGTACATAGGTCATTTGGTACCGGGCTACTCAGACACAGTAAAAAAAAGTACTTAAATTTTTACTAATTAAAGAAAATCCAGTCATATCCCTTTACTTTCTTTATTTAAAGATAATCTGGTAATGTTTTAAAATACTGGTCTGTAGTAACAGGTGGTACTAGTTGACCAAAAGATAATCTGGTAATGTTTTAAAATACCGGTCTGTAGTAACAGGTGGCCAGTAATAGATGTTTCTGCAATTGATTATATTTGATTGAATATAAAAATGTCTTAGGTTAAGAATCTCTGCTGCATGGACTTTACTAAATGCTTAGGGCCACACAAAACGGCTTGGCGGTCCGCATTTGGCCCCCGGGCCTTGAGTTTGACACGTATGGTGTAGACGGAGCAGACTAATTTAGAAGATGGAGGCCACCAATCAGAAGGATTAGAGGAGGAAGTAAAGGAGAAGGTCAAATATGTCAAATAACTCCTCCTTCCCACTCCCCCCAAACTAAAAAAAAAAATATGATTAAAAATCAGTGTCACCTCCACTGTGGAAAAAAAAATCTGAAGGGCAACACTGCCGTAAAGGTAGCTGATCCACTGCGGTGAATGAAAGGACAGGTATAATATTTATGCATGTTTCACTGGGTGTAGATTAGTTGTGGTTACAGAAGGGTTTCGTTTAACTTGGTTTCCACGATCAGTCAACAGATCAAAAAGACCCACAAGATCTGGTCTTGTCCTCGACCCACAGAAACGCCATCAGTCCTTCTGTATGGGGCAATAAGTGAAAAGAAAAATCATTGAACCTGTGTCAAAATGTCTCTTCTACAACTGGTCACATCTGCTGTAGATCTACTGGAAGAGACGCTCGTGTTTCCCAGTGGTTTGGTAGACGTCATGTGGAGATGCAGATCACACATGCTGACATCAACCTTGAATAACTCTTTTCTTTTTGTTTGTCTTTTGTCTCTGTCCTCACCTCCCACTCCTCACTCCTCCCCGCACCTTCACCCTCCACCCTCCACCCTGCGTGATCCTGCAACCCCCGTGGCCCAGCAGCAGTGAGCCGCGACCTCTCTCCGTGTCCTGCCTCTTCAGTTCCCTTCCAGTCGTCGTTCCCCGGGCTGCGGTGCGTCCTGTGTTCTCCCATCAGCCTTAGCCGCTGCCTTCAAATCAGAATTATTTTGTCTGAAATCTCTGAGTCCTCTGTTTGTTTGTGAGTGTTTTTGTCAGTGTGAACGCAAGCATGCAGACGTGGGCATGTTTGGCCGTAACGTTGAGGGAAGGAGCTGATGGAGAGAGCACCGAGGAGGAGAAGTCCTTTAGTTTGTTTTGTTTTTCTCGATCTCCCCTCTGATTCTTTAAAAACACAATCATGTCCTCCCAATTCCTGTCTCCTGTGTCCCACTCTTCCTGAAGGCCACCTGCGGGAGCAGCAGCACCGAGCCGGACCACTCGATCAAACCAGGCATTTCCCCAAACCAGGTGTCGTCTTCTTTAGCAGCATGTGAACCTAGGCTTAGAGAGCGTCCTCCACCGCTGGTGAATCCCCGCCACAAAGTCAAGGCGCTGCTTGCAAGTCTGTCTGCCTCCGGCCTGACCGCCGAGGCCCTGCTCCTCTCCTCCACCCTCCGGCAACGCCAGCTACTGCGGGAGCAGAAGGCCTTCTCCTCACTCCCTCCCGGTATCAAGTTGTCCTCGTCCTCCTCTTTTTCTCCGACCACGCCTACGGCGACCGTGTTTACCTCCACACCTCCCCCTTCAGGTCCCGTCACCCTCTCCTCTGAGGCTATCAAGCACAAGTACGATAAGAGCAAGTCGGAAGACAAAAAGAATTTCAACTTCTACAACTGTCCTGGGTGAAGGGGAGGACGTTTTTGTTTTATCTTGTCTATCCCTGTCCTTTATCTCCCTGTTCTACGCTAGGTCCATTAACAGAAAGAACAATAACCTTTTTTGACAGGAAAGGCCACAAAAGTTCTAAGCTTAATGCCCCAAAGTCGAGAGACAGTCCCCCAGAAGAGGGCGCTCCTGATATCAGCCGACTGGTCATGCTGCTGGTTCATTTTTGTGGTGGACATTCAGTTTCAGTCATGTCCGCCGCAACTACTACATGTCTTTTGAGGTCTCATATGGTCAAGCCTATTTCTAAAACCTGGAAGGAAGGACAACAAGGGTGTGATACGCAGCAGCTCTGTGATGAAGAGGAGGTCGATTTAGCCACATTTTTTTTCCACCTAACGTCATCTGTGCTCCTGCTCCACCTAAAGGCTACCTACACAAACAGCAGCACGATTAAGCCATCCATCACCGGCCCTAAAAATGTCCCAATCCACTGGCCCCGTCCACAGCTCTGCTCCTCTGTCCTCCCACCGTCAGCATCGGCGCTAGCTCATCTTCTCAGCTGTGATACGAGTGGCAAAACGTTATATTCTGCAGAGGAGACAACTTCGGGTACGTCAAGAGAATTCCTTCGGATTTGTCCTGTCGTTTTCCACAGTCATCACAGGTCGATGGAAAGAATAATCAAACGTAAACAGGCTTTCAAATCATCTCCGACACCTCCTCCCAGACCTGCTTTCTCCATTCCTCTCATGTTTCTCCTTCACCGTCATACTGCCAGCTTCAAAGCGCACACGCGGACCTCCCCCTCCCACCACCTGCTGGTTGGATGGATGACACCCTCGCTCAGTGGGTCTCTAGTGGAGTAGATAAACAATGTTTAGACTGTGGACTTCGATTATAGAAAATAGGATGCAAAAGTACTTCGTGTAGATGTCTGTGTTCTGGATAATATCGTACTCTCGTTCTCTGGCATCACAACAGAAAAGAACGTGTTCAGAAAAAAACAAAAAAAACAAAAAAACGAAGCGGATCGAGGAGGAAGTTGTGGTGTTAAGTTGTGTTTCGTGAACAGAGGATTTGCTTCTTTTCTTACATCACACATTTCTTACGTTTCTCGAATGGTGCTAGATTTTCCCGTCCGTTTGTAAATACGGAGTTGTAGGGCTGTACCAGAGATATCCCAGAGTATGTACATCACAAATATATATTTCCTGCCAATCACAATAGTATATTTAAAACGATTATTTAAATGACAGCTATAAAATGAAACTATATCCCCAAAAGACCATCACAGTGGGCGCTCCTGCCGCGCCCATCTTTATTTACCGTAGAGCTGAGAAATGCAGAGTTGCACAAACAGATGGGGGAAACGTGCAATGAATGTGTACAAAATATATGTTACCACATAGAGGACATTTTAAACGTGTGATCACCAGTTAGTAAATGATGACAATCAGGATGTTACGCAGTAGTTCAGTATACATATCATGCGTCCGACGTCAAAAATCTTCTCAAAGACTCGAAACCACACACGCTTTGTTGTTATTCATTTTTCGGCGTCTACATTTTCAAATATGTAACGAGAACAAATTCGTACTGTCTTTACGGTTAACATATAAAAGTCTTAAACAGGTCAAACAGAAAATACTAAAGTATAAATGGAGCACATTTCACTTCAGTTCAGACAGTTCAGACACAATGAGTTTGATTAAGAATAAATTAAGCACAAAGATTTCTGTATTCATGTAGAACAAAACGAGAAAAAAGAAAAAGAAAAATTCCCGTACCCTATTATAACATCTACGTTTAACCTTAAAACCAGTTATGAACGCGAGACCTTCGGTGTCCATTTATGTAAAGCACACTTCGGCCTGATCATTTAAACTGCACATACGGTCATAACATGTGTCCCACACTAAAGCTGGGTTGCAGCCTACGTTATCTACACAGGTAGACCATGTGAACATAGACTGTAAACAAGAAATAGACAAACTCATCTGGTCGTTAAAGTGAAGCCTGAAGGAGTTCTATACTGGTTTAACATCGGAGGTTCAACATCACATGACCTTCCTGACCCCGACCTGGGATTTAGGGGCTACATGATATTGAACCTGGTAGATATGGACCTCAAGAAACATGAGGTCCAGACTCCTGGTGTGTGTTGTTGGTATTAATGGGAGAACAGTCATGTGTGAAGAGGGAAAAGAAAAGGAGGCTGAATGCAGTGCCCTGTGGTACACCTCCACATGGTAGTTTGAATAATTAATCAAATACAAACACAAAAATTCCTAAATTAATTTTCCTGTTTTACGCACAAAATTAAAACTATTTTTTAAAATATTTTTTTCATTATTAATAATATAATTTTTTTAATTATTTAATTTTTTTTTTTACATTTAGGTTGATTTTAACAGAGGGTTCAATACAAGAGACAAAAAACACAAAAAGTGACAGACCATGTGAGGGGACACTGTGTGTCTCCGTCCACTGCACAGTGACAGGTCCGTCTGTCAATAACACACATTGTCCAATCATAGGCATCCTTGTGTACTGCTGCAAAAAAAAAAAAAAAAAAAATTGTACAGCTTTACTTGAGGACCAGATGGCTGTTTCCATTTCTTATTTACAGTTTATGGATGTGATGCATGGTATCATAATGTAGCCCCTGCTGCCGCCTGCAAATCATAATAATGGGACACGTTTATACAGAAAATGAAAATGTTTTAGACCTTGATCCATTTTGTATAAAAATAAGATAAAAACGCGAAGGCTAATATTAAAGACTACATGGCACAAATACTGTTTTAAATATGTCTGAAAGACACTTTACAGCACTAGTGGAAGAAAAAAAAACAGACCAAAATAAATGAGAGAAAGGGTAAAGTAAAAATGTCTTTGCCTTACCATTTTGATTTGTTAAAGCTGGTGTTTGTTTTCCTCAAACAAAACAGAAACAGTGTTGTTTTTTTTTGTTGTTTTTTTTTTGGAGAAAGTAAAAGACACTTCCACCTAAACCCGAGACTGCAGAAACCGGTTCGTTCCCCCGTTCCTACGTTGTCAGGTAACATGTTTGCCACGTGACTACGGCGGAACACTCCCTCAGCTCCAATATCGTGCACAACTGCAGTCCAAAAGCACAACGAATTTAGCCTCACTCCGGGGGAGAATTTGTAGCTGCACACCAGGCAGGTTCAAGCCCTGGGGTTTCACACTGAGTGAAATCACATGAAAGAAATTCACTTACTCACACTGTTCCGCACTCGGATCTAGAACTGAGTGACTGCACAGTGACTGGCTGCATCGGCCTCGACCGAGCGTCGAGGAGAAGGGTTTCACGTTCGACCGCTTTCCCCCCGAGTGACAACTGAGATGAAACCCTGGAGAGTCGCGTGACCGTGCTCTCTGAAGGAATTTGTTTTTCCGATTTTGCGATTTGAGATGCGGTGTTAGAGACTCTCCCAGCAGACGCCCCTGGCAATCAAATCAGAGAGAGTCGTGCAGTCTTGAAACTTCGCGCGACGAAATATACATATATAAATATATCCAAGTGAGATGTTTGTGTGTACAATATAATAGTGAAGAACATTGTGATATAAATATAAATATAGACCTAGATTTAACGATATATTGTAAAATGTCATCATCTCCTCGGTTTTATATATTAGTGGCCATTTTGTACTGATGTTTTCTTTTTTTAATTAATAGAGACAAACGACACACGACACTCTAGGGTTATTTATTCATATGCAGAATGTTTTTATATTGTTTAAAGAGTCTGTAAAGATAACTGTTAGCCTCTGTAAAATACACTGGAATCCTTTGGGGTTTTTTTTTTTATTCTAGAATTTTCCTTACGAACACTGGACTGTAATTTTGGTTTAGTCCTTGTAAAGACTTGTCCGGTCGGTCGGCGCCTTATGTTGAAGGCGTCGCAGGCTGGGCCGGTGTCTGTGCTTTAGGGCCTTAATTTGCTGCAATCCTTTAATTTGTGTTGTTTTTGTGTACGTGTTCCCGTGCTGATCGGTCGCCTTCAACATTTGTTTGTGTTTGAGTTGGTGTTCTTGAAGAGGTTCTGTCCCGAATGTCCGACACCACGGCCAGTTCTTTCTCACAAGTCGTAGACGTAGGCAACTGAGCGTGCTACCCACCGTCTGGGATGCTTCTAGAACCGGACCTTTAAGGGGAACTGTATTGATGATGTGGCCCCTCGGGTAAAAAATAAGTTTGACACCCTGGGTTTACAAATTATTACTAAATTATAAGTCTTATAGAAGTTTGTGTATATTGCCATCAGGTAGAGAGGGAATCAAACTCAATCCAGATTGTGTGGTTCTTAATTAAAGTCGATGTTTTCCAAGTTACGTACTGTGTTTTAGTACAGACAGAAAAAGATTTTCAAAAGAACTGTAGGAGACATTTGGTCTCCTAGAACCACATGAGAAAACAAACAATTAGCAATTAGCTAAGAAATTAGCAACAAAATAGATATCACCATGGCCTTACTGCTAAACAGGGGCGATGCGGTAGTGGTCACATGACATGGGCACTCACCCTTATATTGTACATTAACGGCCTGTCCACCTCTGTTGTTATTAATTCAGCCCACCGACGCTAAAGTTTGCTACAGTCACTTGCCTATGTCTGAACTTGTATCGATGCTGACTGAGGTTTTCGGAGGCGCAGGATTTGTTCCGGTTGTGAAAGCGTCACCACCAGTTTTACTTGAAAACTTTGACTCAAAGGCTTTAATCCCCCCCCCCCCCATGCTGGGATTCACTTGGCACCAGTAGCAATGCGGCACCAGTGGCAACATTGCGGCCCGGCCAGAATTTGTAGGCGGGACCTGGGCGTTGAGAAGGTTGGCGGTGAACCGTGCCTCGTATGGGTTTCTCCACCGTTTCTGTGTGTGAACCTGTGAGTCAAGGTGAAACGATTAGTCATATGTAACCCATACCATTTGACATTTGTTACACATGTAACCAAAGTACAGCCATGTGTGGCCCACATGCCTGGGTCGCGACAGGTGGGAGCACATATCCGATGCCTACTCTGCTCCACGTTGCTCTACCAAGTGGCTTCACGTAGCAGCTACGCTAACTGCACCACAGCAGATCAACAGGGGAATTCATTTTGACGACGTTCCGTCTCTTTCTTTGCCATTGTATGTTTTTATAAGTATATAATGAACCGGTACATTCTGTCGTGTGTACGGTATATGAGATTTTTACATGAATGTGTGGATGTTCAAAAACCTTGGCATCAGAAACAAGAGCCGACCTGTAAATAGGCGAAGTCGTTCCCGGACGGACTGAGCGTAAACTGTTTTGTCCGAGAGATGTTTTATGGATAAACTATAATAACGATGGCTACAAAGTTATATACAAAAACAATGCATGTATAGTTTCAAAGCAATTGCACGGTGCAGATGAATTTAAAAAGAAAAAAAAAAAAAAACACTTAACATATTGTCTACTATGTGTTTTCTCCAAAAATGAGAACGAGAGGAAGGAGGAAAGCTGTGTTTAAACTGAGGACGTCTACTGCTATCTGTGACACAGGCATGTTTATTCTTACTGTGGTTGTTATGTTACGATGATGATGATGACGATGATGATGACGTCGGTCTAGAGTCAGTCTAAATGTCAATGGGTCTGGCAGCTTGAACTCACCCCGACCAAGAGTCACCAGTGATGGTGGTAAACTTTTTCTCCACAGATTGATTTCAACACTTGTAGAGTAGTGTGATATACGAGCTAAAGAAAATAGATCTATAATAGAAACAAAATATATATATCATAAATTTAAAAAGAGCCTACCAATACTGGAGTTAATTATTTATCCGTGTGGATGCCATGACGTGCTGTGAGAAATGTGTGTTTCTTTTTTCCCGTGAGAAGACTGCAGGCAGACAACCTGCCTTTTTGTACATAACTCGCTGTGATTGTGTGTCCAATAAAGTGCAGCTCTCTTGTACAACTGCGGCGTCTCTCTGATTTGGCTTTAAACATAAGGCATGTGGCCTTTGTGGCGTCCAAAACCAAATACAAAGCCGAGTGAAAAAAAAATCTGTTGTCCCTCAGGATGTAGTTTTTTTTTTTGGAACTTTTCTTGTACCCATTAGTACTTATCTGACTTTATGGTTCGTTATTATAGCGTATTGTATTGCAGTCTGTACATTCAATGAGTAAGCAATGTGTCTAGTTACACTGAATGCATCCTCCCGTGTGATATTGGCCAGCCAATGACAGACCTTACAGTTATGGTTGGGGGAGGAGCTTAAAAAATGTTTTTTTTTTAAATGATGTTATGGGCTTTTACTGCTGGGTGAAGCTAGTCCACGGTCTTCAGAAGAGGATTACTTTTGTTATAAATTAGCTAGCTACTGCTATTAGCAAAGGAAAAGAAATTTCTCTGATAAATGTGTTTATTGGTGTAGTACAACAACTGGCCAGCTGGGGCTTTAGAAAATAACTTTTCATGTACATGGAACGAGCAAAGAAACAAAAAATAGGATTATTTCAGTCAGATGAAAAAGGAAAACGTGTTACAGAGAAACTCGGGTAAATACAAATGACATACAAACACACACTGCTAATAAAATACATCTATTTATGATACTGTTCTGGTTCTCTTTATATTAGATGAAGACGCGGGGGAGCTCGGATATACGTTGTTCAAAGATTAGAAACATTATTGACTCTGGAAATAAAATATCAAATAGTTCCAACTTGAATATTTACAGAACAAATCTATAAAATGTAGATCTAAAATACACAATGTCGTTTTGCTTATTATATATTTTGATGTATTGTATACACAGTACTTGTTTTGTCTGTATAAAAAGGCTGTGTTTTAGGTACAAAAAAAAAAAAAAAAAAGCTCAAGTGTCCTGGCGCTGCGCCGTCCGCCGGCCATCTGTCCTCCTGTATGGTGTGTTCCTCAAATCTGAGGGAGGACATGGACATGCTCACTCAGTAAAGGGACATGTTTCTGTTGAAATTAAACAGTAAATGTCTGGCGTCTTAAATACCACGTACCTGTGATGATGTCCTCCAGAGCGCCGTCCTTCCCTTCGCGTACCTGCGGTTTCACCTGCCTCTTCTTCAGCTCCGCGATCAGGTCCATCTGAGGCATCTTGGGCATCTGGGGACCCTGCTCACAGTTTAACAAGGGAACAAACAAACATCAGATATATAGAAATAACTTTAGCTACATGTCTACGGAAAATTCAAGTTAGCTCAAAGTAAACTTAGTAGACTTATTATGGCCAAAAAGTTTTAAAGATATAGCTGGGAATGTGTCCAAGTGGTGGTTGGGGGGTTTGAAAATGGGACGATGTTTCATTCTTCAACAGTCACTTGAGGCCCGTATTAAAACTTCTGGGGCTAAACCGACCTCTGACCTATACTCTTCTAATTTTTAATACCTTTGGAGACGTAGCTTTGTTCGGAGACGGCGACTGATTTTCCTCCTTGCTCTCCCTCTCCAGTTTTTTTCTCTGCTCAATTTCTTTCTGTGCTGTCTGCATAAAAAAGAAAAAACAAGGGACATTTAGTATTCCAAATCATACTGGACGACACACACAGACGTCGCGTTCATTTTTTCTTACCTTGAAGGCTTTGATGAAACGTCCGAACAGAGGGAAGAACATGGAAGGCTGCGTGGTTTTGGGGTTTTCTCCAAAGTACTCCACCACAGAGCCGTAAGCTTCCTGCACGAGACAAGAGTGTGTACTTACATGTCAGAGGTGGACAGTGATGGATCATGGGTACGTTTGACTGAAAGTGCAGGCTGACCTGTGCTGTCTTGCAGTCTTTGATCAAAGACTCAAGGAGTTCACTGTTGGTCTTGATGAACTCCTTCAGCACGGGGCAGTCATCTTGAACCAAAAACTCCTTCTTGGTCATTTCCATTCCTCGCTCCAATGAGCGGATGTTCTGAAGAATGCTGTCCAGGGACACTGACACGGAGAGGGGGAGTTCAATGTCAACATGTTCTTTTAAGACGCGCCACGTTAATTAATTAATAGAAATATTATATGCTGTCAATACTAAATTGGAAGATTATGTACAAATCAGCCCTATATTATCACTATAAGCATTATACTTTTAAGGAAAAAATATTTTTATTTTATCAATTCTTTATCAATTCTTATTAATTTAATTTAAACTATTAAAATAACTATATTAATAAACATTCATACAGAGATGGCAGACCATGACAGCATTTTCGAAGGAGTGACAGGAGTATGTTTTGCGTTTACCCAGCGCTGCTTTGTCCACAAAGTGTAGCTCAGTGTGGAAGTTGACCAAGTCTGGGTATTTGTCCTGGATGATGTTGGTCATAAAATGCAAGAGTGTCTGTGAGCGGTCAGTGGACTTGGTCTCCAACAGCTGAAAGGACAGACGTGGAAGTAGTTTATTTGGTTGAAAGTGTTGCTGCAAATATAGCCATTTTTGTTTGCTAATACTTACAACAATAACAACAACATCTTCAATAATAATAATAATAATAATAATAATACTCACCAAGTCTAGACTTTGCAACCGAAAACCATACGCTGCACCTTTCTTACTGCTGTTCATGTAGTTACCAAAGGCCAAAACAATCTGGGGGGGAAACATCAGATCAGATCAGAGTGTAACTGTGTTAAAAAATAGTTGCTAAAAAATCTAAACGATGAGGAAGCTAAACGGTAAACAAAATTACAGCTAGTTTTAATACTGAAAGTAAATAAGTAAATAAAGGTTGTCATTAACAAATAAACATGAACATTTGGACTTGAAATACCCAGCTATATGCTAACAACGTGTTAGCAAATAAAAAAATAGTAATCAAATTTTATACTAAATAATAATATATATAATATAATATTTAGCCTAGGAAGAGCTAACACAAATTTAACAAAAACAGTGTTGTTGAAACTGTTAAATTTGACCAAAAATACATGTCAAGTTTGGGTAAAAACATAACATCTTTCACTTACTTCTAGAATTTTTTTCAGTTTCACTGAAGACTTGATTGACACGGAGGCAGCAATGATGGAGTTGAGTTGCTGTGCATGAAGTAAAGCGCGATCAACACATCAGTTTAAAGTTCAATCCCATAAAACACAAACTTCTATGTTTTCTTAAATAATAATGCTTTTTCTTTTCAATAACTAACCGGCTGCAAATGTTTGACATTCTCTGGAAAATTCCCCATGAACGTCAGAGTGTTTATCCTCTGGTTCAGTCGAGGGATCTTCCCGAAACGTAGCATGAACTGGTCCTCGTTGGTCAGCTCCTCCAGGGGGCGTCCTTCTTTCTCGTAGTTGTTCAGCAGCTTCATCTCAAAGTCTGAGGGTATGAAGTGCTCGAGCAGTTCCAGAAAGTCTATGGACAGAGCCTGCTGGTCGTACCTGGACAAAGAAGTAGCGGCACATTTTAATGTTAGTATTTTGAAACAACAATTGTTGACTAGTGCTGAAGACGGTCAAACAGAAACAAATATATCAGGACACTTTTTAGGCAAAATTGAGGAGACCGAAGATTGAATTGGTTAAATTGAAACTAATTTGAATTTCAAATGCTAGCAATCCAATCATTTAATCAATCAGAGAAGCCAGTTGAGTGAGGCTAAAACTTTAGGTAGCAGCATTTTATCTAAATGACTGTAAAATATTGTCTCGTGATCTACAATAAAAGCTATTGGTTATCGGTTTCCAAAAAAAAACATATTTTGTGCAAAGAGTTAGGGGTCTGAACAGGACCCTTGCTAAACTCCAAAAAAAAAAAAAAAAAAAGAAGCAACAGATAAAGTACAGAACCCTCGGCAAATAAAAACAAACCGGGTTGGTTTTCCCTTTATTTTAGTAGTGTTTTACCTGGGATAGAAAAATGTAGTCTATAACATTTTAATGTTAGTATTTTGAAACAAATTGTTGACTAGTTCTTTTCTTTTTCTAATTCTTTTGACGTTGCCTTTTTGAAAATCAGTTGCGTAATAACAGCTGGAACACATTCAGATATGTTTTCATCAAGGGTGAAATTCTTGATCCAACTAGAAGTGATTAAGAACGTACGTCTCGATGGCGGTGCAGATGTCAGATGGATTCACTCCTCCTTTGCGTAGAGTGATGGCTAGGTTCTTGGCCTTGTTTTGATCGATAAGCGCAGTCTTGCTCGGGGCCTTCTGGGATGCTTTCTTGGTCTTCTTGAAGACGTCAGTGGGATTGCCCTGGGCCCTGGTCTTGAACTGCTCCTCGAACATCTCCATATTCAGCTCCTGAGTTAAACACAAAAATGAAAACTTTCAGAATGTCTGTTAAACACAAACAAGAAAATGAAGGGTAATCTTTTTCCATACCCCTAGAATCTGCTCGTCATCCAGCTCGTTGAAGACGGTGCCCGTCACCTGGTTTGGTTTTAACGCCTGCCAGTTCAACAAGGGCATTTTGAACTTGGTCTGGATTGGCTTTTTGCTCTTGATGCCTGGGAGACGAGGGGAGAAAGAGGACACGTGAATAAAATAAAATATTCCAGATATTCATTTCAACTCCGTTTGACCTTCGCATTAACCTTTTCGAGCTCCTCACCAGTTTGTGATGTTAATCCAGCACCAAGTGGGGGAGGTGGGGGACATGGTCCTCCTCCAGGTGGAGGAGGCGGAGGTGGTGGTCCTGCTCCAGGTGGCGGAGGCGGAGGTGGCGGAGGAGGCGGTCCAGCGCCTGGTGGAGGGGGTGGAGGTGGAGGACCTCCTCCGATACATGAAGGAGGAGGTGGTGGAGGTGGGGGTGGGGGAGGAGGTACAGAATTGGAGGCTGAATGTGCTGGAGTGGGCTGAGGCTCTCTGAAACCAGAGGGGGAAAGGGGAGGGGGAGGAGGCGGAGGTGGAGGCGGGGGAGAAAGAGGCGAACCCTGGGACGTTGATTGTGGAGTCGGAGCAGTAGTGGCAGGAGGGCCGGACACAGGAGACCCGGCAGGACTCAGATCACCAGCCTGAGTGACCGAGGGCGGGGCAGGAGATGGGACTTGGACATATTCCACCACCTTGACCGGCAGGACTTGGATGTCCAGGCTTCCTGAGGGACTGCGGCCCAGTTGGATTAACCCCTTGTCCTGCAGCTCCTGGACCTTCTGTTCTAACTCCGAGAGACCGCAGGTGCTCAGACGTTCCCTGTCCTTCTCCCGCTCCCGATCCATCTCCCGCTCTCTCTCTCGCTGCTGGAGAGCACTGACCTGGGAGCAGGAGTCTCTGAGGCTTTCCTTGAAAGGACAGACATGTGAACACCGTTAATAAATACTACAGTGTCCTCAGTGAGGTGGACTGGTCTGCCACGTTCCAACTGGATGGTTGCATCTTTCTTGAGAAAGTCGGACTGCCAAAACGAGCACGAACACGGACGTCAACTCTCCTTGACCTCTACTCAAATCCAGTCTTTTTGGACTGTCTTCCTCTTTTTGTAACACAACCTTGTACCAGAACTCAAATTCAAAACCCGTGGACTCAATGTAGTTTGGCCTTACAAGCCCGTCCTAGGCAAATTTTAAAAAAATTCAAGGCAAGTTATTGAGGGACAGGCTTGGACAGTTTGACGGCCACAAAGAAAGACCTTTTCATTATAAATCACTTACCTTCAACAGCGCCGTCTCTTTGGTAGCGTGCATGAGCCGACTCTCCAGGTCAGCGATACGTTCTTTCGTCTGGTCGTCGACCTCCTGAAGTTGGTCCCTCAGCTACATTACGACAAAAGAAACGATCTCCTTAACGTCACATCGGTGGAACCCGTCTCTGTTCTTCGGTAGGAAGCTCTTTTTTTCTCATTTGGTCCTCACCTGGGTGTTTTGTTCATGCAGCTCCTCCACTTTCTCCAGATCTCCTCCTCTGTTCTCGGCGTCCTCCAGCAGGGCGCCCACATCTAGGACATTATCCAGGTAGGCCTGAATCTGGACCAGCAGCTTCTCACTCTCCGTCTGTTTCAGACTCTAACACACGGACACACAGAGGATACATATTTGAAACTGCAAAATGATTCAACATTTAATAGTCTGTGCACTTGGATCATTTTGAACTGCTTTGGGCAGTGTTTTTCAACCTTAGGGTCACGGATCCAGTTGGGGTCGCCTGGAATTCAAATGGGG